GGGGGGGGGTGCTGCAGGGGTGCGTTTCGCTGCTGAGTCGCTGGCTAATTTTCAAGCCTCGGATACATCCATGCCCTGCAAGGCCCCATCTGTAATACCATGACCTATTTGTGTATAATCAGCAGCAGATTGCTTGCCCAGCATGTTAAAGTGCATTTATTCACTTGGTTTCTCACAACTATCCAGTGCAGCGGAGATGGCAGCTTTAAAACGCGGAAAAAATGTTTTTCATTATTATCGACTGATGGCAACTCCCTGTTTGTGTTTCCAGCTGGCGCTCAGTCAGTCAGGCTCATTGATTGCCAGCACCCGGTGATCTGGGACGATATCAGCCGCAGGTTAGCTCGTTGTTTGTGTTGCAGGAAGCTGTTTACGTTGAGAAGGTTGGAAAAAAAGATGGAGAACGTGTCTCACTTTTCAACATCCATTAGTTTGATAAGAAATTCCTAAAACACCTTTGAGAAGAAATTATTGGACGTGTGCTTTCACTTTGTGGTTTAAACCGTGTACCATCTGCTAACATGGAAGAGGCAAGGTTTATGAAGTATACTGCAGCCAGCCACCAGGGAGCGATCAAGAAGATTTGGCTCAACTTTTTGGGAGCTGTCACGTCGTCCATCTTTTACAAACAAGTCTATAGTAAAGACACTCAGTGGACTACCTGCTCCTCTAACAGCTGGTGAATACAGCGGAGCCTTCAGCAACAGAAGCAGATGTTTCCCTCAGGAGTTTGTCGAGACCAAAGACGGAAACTGTACCGGATTAAAGGATGATGATGTTTCCACGCAGGTTTGAATCTCTGTTTAAAACATGGACGAACAAGTTTGTGACAAACATCACAGCTGGTGTGGAGTCATACATGGTCACAGTGTGGTGCGGACACGAACTTAGGAAAAGGAACTTTTTATCCAGCGATTCAACTTTTTACAGAAAATGTGTAGAGAACATGTAGATTTAATTTTAGGAATATATACAAACAGTATGTAGCTGAGCTTTGGTGAGCAAGACGAGTTACAATATGAATATCACTTGAGTTGTGAGTAAGGAACTAGATTAGTAATTTTCATATTGTCATAATGACCTTTTGATATTGCTGTAAAGACGACGTCTTGTGTCATGTGATGTTAGTATTTATTTGTGTAAAAGCTGCTTTTTCTGCTTAAAATGAACCTTTTCATCGTCTCTAGCTGAATTTGTGAATTAGTTCCCTGTGACCATGCACTCTGCAGAGTACCGTTCTCTTTCTGAATTGATTTATTGACTTTGTGATGTTACATGTGAAATGCGACAGAATGACGATGCCTTCAGGGGGAAACATTAAAACTCTGCCCACCTGCTTGGTCACTATATAAAGTGAATGACTGTTTGTCTCTTCTGTAAAATAACAGTAATTTGATTTCTCATATTTTGAATCCTGCCACGACCTGAAACTGACCCCTGCTTTCTGCTGTTTACCTGCTGCAGCATTAGCATTGCATGCGGCGCAACGCTGCATTACGGGACCAGATTACAACAACAGCTCACATTCCAGCTTCTTCTTCGTGTCGGCCTGCGGTCTGAAAGCAAACTCCTCCTGTTTTGTATCTCGGAGTTTACGGGAGGACTCCTGCAGCCTTGGCCGGGTCCATTAACATGTCGACATCAGCTGTTTGCTGCGAGGTTGGTGCTCACCCCACCGTGCGTTCACAGCAACTGTCACATCGATCAGTGTTTCCCACAGCGCGATGTCCTCCAAGACGATGTAGGCTTTGACTTCACATTGTCTCAGGTCACAGTAGAGGGACTAACTCTGACTCTAAACCTGACCGGACTGGACACCTTGACAGTCGGGGGGGGCAACCGGGGCATCAGTCCCCCTCGAGGTGGATCTGATCATTCTGTTGTGGGGACAGTGTCTCTGAATTCAGCTTTTGAGTGACTACAGACCCGTCGTAGTTTTACTCGGTGATGGTGATTGAAGAAATGTCGAACCCCATCTCGCTCACGCTGATGAAGTCCCAGATCCAGAATTTCATGCTGATTTAAAACATAGTCCCTGAATATGTTTCTGTTCCCATCAAGATTTTAAAATTATTTAAGATCTGACGAATCTGTGACAATGTCAAATAAAAACCACTTTTGCAATGTTAAAGAAAGAGATTTTAAAAAATTCCCCTTCGTCCAGAGCTGCACCGAAATGTGCTGGGTTCTCTCTTGGCCCGTGTCCCATCCATCAAGTTCTGTGGTTTTCCGTTCTGTTGTTTTTGAATCTTGCTTTCTTGCAAACCAACCAACCAACAAACAAACCGAGATGAAAACACAACCTCCTTGTTCCAAGTGAATGTTTGGACTGAAACTCATTATTTTCATTTGTTCATCAATATGTAGAAAAGCTGGAAAGACCGTGCGCCAACTAATCGTCCAGTCGGTTTATATTAAGTAACTGTAGAAATATCGTTAATGCATTCATGTAAACTTCCCAGCATGCACAAGGTTAAACCTCTCCAGAAAAAACTCTGTGGAGGCTATGATGTGTCTTTTTATAGGTGTGTCGAGGTCTCAGGCGATCTCAGATCAACGTTTTTAAAAAAAAAATGTGAACCTGACTGTGACAAATGCATGAGGGAGAGAACTCTCGACACAAAGAGGCGGCGGCGGTGCGATTGCCTCGACTCCTCATCGTCTCATATCCGCTCCCAGACAAAATGTGTTACTCCATCAGCGGCACCATCCAGTCGTTAGTGCACCGCCGCACAGCGCTGCCCTCCAGGTCCTCTGCCCCCACGTCACTCTCCACCTCCTCGAATGTAGGGCACATACAGCTTCTCCGTGCTTGTTTGTTTGCCTGGCTGTCACCTCACATTACACCCCCATCTCCCAGCAGCTGCAGTGCGGGGTCATGAAAAAGGCCACTCCTTAATGCATGCTTTCTTTTTACTACAGCAGAGTCCGTGTTCACACAACGATGGTCAGAACACGAGGGTAATGGATTATTAATGTTAAGCTTCAAGGAATAGCGTCGTCGCAGCCGTGATGTTTCCAGCTCAGGAACCTCGTTTTATTTTTTTCTATCTCCTCCAAAGATCTGGGTGAATTATTTCATCACCAAACTGCATCTTCTCACTTCGCTGAAAAGCAGGGAACGTTTAAAGTGAACATCTTGACGAGAACTGCAGCAGCCTGCGCGCTTTGTCCCGCTCTCTCTCTGTGGACGTGCGGGGGGGATTTCCCCCGAGGCCTGAGCGTTATTAGAGTCATTGCTGTGACCTTTATCTGCCCCTCGGTTTCCACTGAACCCAGTCTGACTTGTGTGTGGGGGGGGGGTAGCGTGGCTGTCACAGCGTCTCTTGCAGGGACAAGACACACTTCCCAGTCAGCTGGGTCAAGCCTGTTCACAATGACGGCCGACCGCCGTCCCTGGGAGGTGAACACATGCTGCGTATGAGCTCCATAAATATTCATCAGGCACGATGTGGCCCTTTCTGCATGTGTGTTGGCAGTTGGTCCCACGTGGCATGAGTGTTACTTCCTGTATTTAAACACGTTAAGTTTATTTCTCTTGAGGTTGAAACTACTGTAAGTCTTAAAGGATCATTTCATTTTATTACAGCGTGGGTCTAATTTTCATAGTTTCCCCCATCATTAATTATTGAATGAAGCTAATTCAGGACATTGTACTTGCAAGAATACATTTTCTAGAATATTTTTTTTTTAAATAATAATGACGTTCCTGTTTTTTTTTTTTTACACGTTCAAACAGACGTTTGCAGTGTTGAACTCTGAGAGGCAGCTTTGGGCTTTTATCTCTATTAAGCCTTTATTTATAAATAACTAAAAGTTAAAAAGCTATTAGCGGCTCCTGGTCGATACGCACCAACGTATCTACAGTCAATTATCTCCTCGGGGACAGAAATGTGGGCGGAAACTACAAACATAAAACACAATATGGGGAAAAATAAAAACGGGAGCGCTCAGTTCTCCTCAGCGTCTCTGCTCAGTTTCCTGACCTCACGTGTCACGATGACAAAATCATTTCTCTTCAGTCAAATGTCGCTGCTCCATCGTTCCCGGTGTAACGTTGATCTGAGCTGGTTTCTACGTCGTGTTGCACATTTTATTGGTTCAGTTTGTTCTTTGTTCTGTGAGCTGCTGCTTTCATCTTTTTCTTGTATTGACACGGTCATAAATAATTCAGATTCAGCGTGTGTGCGTGAACAGTAACCTCCTGGGTGCTTCTGGCAAAGCACAAGGCCAAAGAAAGCACTAATGTGCTTAATTAAAAGATTTATCCTTAATTAATTGTTAGTTTAAGCTCTGTAGTTTATTTGGGTGCATGCTGGAGAAAGTAACATGAGGAGATACAGTCAGGCTCTGATATGGAAATCAGCTTCGTGGTCACCAAAACTAAGACCAGCTCCCCAAAATAGCTCAAAGTCAAATATTTAAAGTCCCTGTTTCCCCCTTTTTCTCGCCAGAAACTGTCCACCACCATCTCCTCGTCAGCACATACTCTGAAAGGCTCTTTGTGATTTGGAAAATAATTTTCTCTGCTGCGGTTTCTTGGTTACTGGATTTTTTTTTTTTTTTTCTTCTTCAGCTCCAGTGAAGTCATACCTCATCTTCCACCCCTCCGCATGCACCACTGATGTTTCTTTTGTCGTTGCAGAAGCTCGCGTCCAGAAGCAGAGCCTGCAGACGGTGCAGAACCTCCTGCAGGAGGAGGTGGCACGTGCAGAGGAGCATTCAGAGGTAAAACCACCAAACACAACCCGCTCGTTTCTTTTGTTCTTGCCGAGCAGAAACAAGTCTTCCGTCACGTTGGCGGCGCTGATGATTCCTGAAAAGCCCGGAGTCTCGCTGGCAGCCCACCCACTTCTGTGCAATCTGATCCCTGAAGACATGAGGGATATACATACACTGAGCTGCCGACCAACATCTCAGAGAAATATCCATCGCAGCAGCCGCTACAGAGGCCGTTATATATGTGCTGTGTTCATTCTGCCCTCTGATGTTACAGCTTTAAGGATTTTAGAACAAAAAAACGAACATATTTTCTCTGTGAAAACATTCTCCAGAGTAAATTTAGATTCTTCTTGGGGATGAAGCAGCTTTAGATCAGTTAGCGTCACTGATGGGAAAACTCAGAAGAGCTGTAGCAACAAAAGCTTCCATGTTTTAAATGCAAATGAACACTGACTTCAGATCAGTGGCTCCCAACGTAGAGATAGGTGACCCCGAAGATAAATCCAAGGGGCCGTGATGAGAAATGAAGTTATTAAATATCCGACACAGTGGGGGAAGGAAATATATCTCTGTGTTTGAATCAGTGATGAGCTGCAGAAACTGATCCAGACGTTAACGTCACCGATGATCTGATTCAATATGTTGCAGGTTTCATTTAAAAATGCAGCATGAAGAAAAACGTCACTCACGGGCAAAAATATTCCACAACGATAATCACCAACAATAATCACCAGGCCCGAACACATCATGTTCTCACGTGAGCAGCTTATCTTAGATATTCATACACATCGGAGCCAAATCACAACTAAACCTCAGAACCATCCGCCCGTGACGAGACTGAAGCTCTGCTTTCATTCGAGAGAGATTTGTGACGTCAACAAGAAAAAAAAAAAACCCCTGTCTCTCACTGTTTTTAAGAGTTTTATCTTCTCTATTTTAAACTTTTTCTCTCCGACACACGTGTACTGACATGATGAGTGTTTGCACACACACAGAGTGGAGAGGAATCTACCGCTTCTCTTACATTTCTGTCTCATTGGACCTCGTTCTGTGAGCGCTGCAGACACATGTCAAAAATAACACAGCGATCTTTATTGACATTGATCATTTTGGACGTCAGATGGATTATAGATGTTGTGCACGTGATCAAAATCAGAACCTAAAACGAGGAAATCTTTATTTTATATATTTTTTTTCTTTCCTGTGCTCGTACAGAACATTTTATAACAAACTCTGAGTCACTGACGAAGCGAACTACTGTGCAGAGAGTTAACTAATCAGTGTTTGAACGAATGTCAAACCAACTCTGTTTGACATTTTAAACATCTAAAGGATTAGAACTTTAAACGGCTTAAAAAAAAAAACGAGCCTTCAGGTGCAGCAGGTGTGTTGACACGGTGTCAAGGCTCAGCCGTCAGACGTCCAAATATGTTTTTGTTCTTTTAAACTTAAAACAATTCAATTAATTTAAAGATCAAACATCAGCTTTTTTCATCTCATGTGATATGATCAGTGTTTTCCACAGATTTGATTTAGTCTCTGGCAGTAGCGTGTTGCACCCGCTTACTGGAAGGTTCACAGACGAGAGAGGGGAAGAAGTTCTGAGAGCCGCGTTGCGTGTCACTCTCGGGGAGGCACAGAGCTGCAGCTGAAACCGAGTGTCGGCGTAGACGGTGAAAACTTTATGGAAGATAGAGGGAACGAGAGGGAGACGTCTCTCATGTTATCCTGAGAAGAAGTGTTTGGTGCATTATGGGACAGATTGAATGTCCACAGGTCACGGGTGGTCAACAGTGGAATACGTTAGCTTGTGTATGTACTGTAAGTGTTTGAAGGAAAGCTAACGATCATGTTGGAGTTAAACGGAATTTCTGTCTGAGCAGCTCCATCGTGTGTTTCTCTGCACGTTAAGCTTCGGTCTTAAAATAACGTTCACGTCTGTGAACACGATGATGCACGGATCCGGTGTAAATCCTCCATCTTCCTTCGGCTTTGATCAGGGCGGCGTGCGAGTCTTGTTCACAGATGGAATCCACTCCGGCGCCGGAGTTGCTGCTCCAGACTGGGATTGATCTGCTCTCTCACACCCCTCCCCCACATCTCGTGCCTCCGATCAATACCGCCTTCCTCCCTCGTTAGCAGCTGTGCGCTGATTGATTAAGGAACGCCCACAACAGGCCTGAAGAAACCACCTCAACACACATCAGTGAATATTTGATAGAGGCCTGGTATTTTATTCCTGAATCTGTGGGTTGAATAAACTCTTGAAGAAGATGGACGTGTCTGTCTATTTTGGATTTCACGACAGGACGATGTAGGTGTACGCTGAACACAAAGACGTCTTTCTTCAGCCTCCGTGTTCCGGGACTTTCTCCTCTGATCTCACGTTAAACCCTCGGAGGGTTTTTATTGGTTCAGTGGGAAACCGTCCTGATTCTAACGTCTAGCTCTTCATCAGCACTGACATCAAATACTGAAGTTTCCAAAACATCTTCTCTCTGGGTTTCGGATGAAACCGCTGAAGTGGTGACGTGACTGAGGACAAAAGACTTTAAGCCTTTCAAGACTTAGGTCAACATCATCTTCTTCTGTTGCCTTAAGTCAAACAAGCTTCCTCGTCAGGTACCAACTTGAACAGAGATATCTGATGAAGGAAACAAGACTTGAACTTGTTGTCGTCGTCCTCAGCGCTTCATGTAAATCCCTTACACCCCCCCCCCGCAGCCTTATAGCAGAGCTTTACTCTGTGTATCCGGATATGAGCTTTTAGGTTTTAACTGTAGTTCACAGCCTTGTTTTCTGAAGGTTCTGCAGATTTAGCGTTACAGCTGCGGAGGAGACTGATGTCCGTCCGTTGTTGTCTTTGTCTGTCTCACACTCAGCGGCTTTAAGGCTGGTAAATAAGAAACCCTGCCGCAGCACTGGATTCCTCTTAGTTCAAGGAAAGCATTGTTTAAATGATGCGTCACTGATGAAAGATTTTAATAATACATTTTGTTGACATAAACTATTGAAGACTCTCTGCACTAATCTACATAAATTCTGCCTCAGGGCGAAGTTTGAAAGTAATTTAATCTACGAATCAAAACAAATATCAGAAACAGATGCTGCACCCTGTCTGTTTTTATAGATGGAGAAATTCATTGTACTTTATTTTTATAATCGTATTTGCTCAGCGCAGTAACCATCCCTGACTCTCATAGTTAATGGTTTCATTTGTGCTTGTGTCTATTTATCTTCCTCCACTGAAGCCAATAATCAAAGTTAAATACTTGTTCCTCCACATACTTTAATCTTTTATCTGACGGCACGAGACGTCTCCGGACGCATCAGACTTGAAAGTCTTGAGGTAAAAATCCAGACGTGGTCCGTTGTCAAACCACATGACGAAAAGAGGAGCAGGAGGTTGAATGTGGAGCTGCAGCTCTGTGCTTTGTTTCTATTGGATTTCCTTCACTTGTACAAAGTCAGAACATGACACTGCAGAAAACAGTTTGTTTACCACACGTGAAGACGAACACGCTTTGCCTGTAACAGCTGTTGTGAGGTCGGTGGATTCACTGCAACCTGAGGTCAGTGAATGGCGTCCTCGCCAGATGGAGAAGCTCTTAGTCACAGTGGTCGAAGACGCAGTGGGAGGCGAGGCAATAAACCAGAAACTCCACCAATCACATGCTACGGTTGACCGGGGGGGGGAGTGACAATGAATGGAAGGACGGTGAGCGAGGCTGTGAGAGTTTTAACATTAGCGTCTCCGATTCAAGCTTTAACTTCTTGTGTTGATCTAACTGTCAACGAATATCGTGAATAAAACCAGAGCAACGTTTGAATTGATCCAACGAACACGTTCCTCTGCATCTAAATCCTCATGTATGTTATTCCTCAGGGCGTCGGAGATCGTTTTTGATAGAAACTTTTAAAAACAGCCTCTCGGTGACATTACGTGTAGTTTATTTTGAGTAAACCTTCGAGTAACCAGAGCGAAGAATGTGTTTTAATCAACTGCTGCAAAAATCCCCCAACAGCTGAGTGAAGTGTGCTAAAACTACAGCTGTGTACTCTTTCTAAAAGTCTACGTTTGTGAGGTGTTTATAAAGATTTATACGTTTAATTAGAATGAATGTGCTGGAGGCTGAGAGCCACAGACGGAGGAAGTATTTAGAGGCAGACCAACACATTCGGTGTTTTCCCGACGGGCTGAGAAACAGAGAGCGACACCAGCCTGCTTCTGTAAACCGAGGAAAGGTCGACGGTAACTTCTTGTTGTTTCCAGGTCACGTGACGATAGCTCTGAGTAGATCATCAAATATCAACTGTCAAAACAATCCGATGTCACGTTTTTTAAAAATCAATCCGGTTCAACAAACGATCAATACAACAAATGAGCGTAGTTAATCCACAGGTCAGCACACAGTCAGGTCCCAGGCAAAACACAATAAGATGAAGAAATCAATGAGGCGAATCTGACGACATCACTTACAGGAAATTGTGATTTAATTGATCAATGGCCAAACACTTAATTGATTTATGAGATTAATTGATTTGATGGAATATCTTTATTATCGCTGACGGGCAGTTTGACTCTCAGTGGGAGACAAAGCACATTTTACAGAGAATGAACAAAACAGAATGATAAACACAAGACGCACAGAGGGAGTCTTCACTTTGAAATTGCAATGAGACATAAAAAGACTAAAAGACTATTTGTCCAAAGCAAAAGCTAAAACTGACTCAATCTCATAAAGTGATAATAGATAAGTGACTCGTTTTTAATCTGAACCTGAAAGAAACTTTTAGGTTTGAACAACGTGGGGACCGAAGTTCAGTTTGAAAAATGTGCAGTGAAGGTTTACTACTAACGCTTAGTGTTAATATCACAGAGCAAGAGTGTGAAACGTTAAGAACGAAGATAATTTCCGTTCTATTTTTAATCAAATCAACTTATCTTCTTCCGTGAGCAGATTTTTTTTTACACGTAACTGCAGTGTGAGTTCCTGTGCACCGTGCTGTACGTTCACTCAGTGGAGATGCACAGAGGAAACTAGGTCAGGGGGTGAAATCAGGTTACTTACATACAGAAACGCATTCAGAGCTGAAACAATCGATCAGTCTCTGGACCGAAATATCTGTGGCGGCCGTTACAGCCACCGACGAATCCTTAAAGACAGAATGTGATAAAAATAAATATCTGCCTTCAGTCCCGGTTCCCTCGTGTTAAACCGAATCACATTGGACTTAAAAACAATAACTGTGGTTTATGCAGCGATTCACTCCACAAATAAAACTTCTGCTCTCAATGTTCCGCTCGACCAGCTGAGGCTCCGACTCCTCACGTCCTGGGAACGCACACAGAGAACGATCTCACCACTTTCAAGCTTTGCCAAATGTAACAGTTGCTGCTCACGGACCATTGTTGAACGTGTAACGTGTTCCTCCAGTGAAATATTGTAGCTGGCAAACTTTGCCAAAGTTCACGGGTAAACATCCCCGAGCTGATTAAATCCTCTTTATACTTGGAGGAGTTTGTTTGAGCGTCTCCCCCGCGGTCTGACCTCCCTTTGTGTGTTGTCCTTCTCTGCTGCCGCCGGTTTATTTTGTCTGTGCTGCTTCACAGGAGCTGCTGGAGAAGTTCATGGAGGGGAACGTAAGCCTGGATGACTTCCTGGACTCCTTCCAGTGCTCCAGGAAGACGTATCACATCCGCCGGGCGCAAGCGGAGAAGATGCAGGAGATCGCTCAAGCCAAACGGCAGCCGGCGAAAACCAAGACGGCGGAAGAGAGTAAAGCCCCAGAGGTGAAGAAGGACTCGGAGCAGCCTCAGCGGCCCAATGGCTTTGTAGCGCAAGGACCTTTAAGAGTGTTCCAAGTACGCTACGGCCTCACGCCGGCCATCCTCCTCCCTCACTACCCCGTTTCTCCTCCTGCCTCGGCCCCGACCTATCAGAATAGTATCCCGCTGCCTGAACCCCAGCTGGGACAGACCCACATCCTCAGCCCCAGCACGCCGCTCCAAGGGCACGGCCAGCCGGTCGGCCTCAGGGTCATCGGACAGCTATCAGGGGGCTGGCCGGCGAACGGGCGGCCGGTAAGAGTGCAGCAGCTTTACAGGCCGAACCCTCAACAGCCCGAGCCGCCGTTCCGGTAAGCTGGAGCAGGGCGGGGGTGGGGGGCAGGAGGAGGAAGAGGAGGAAGAGGAGGAAAAGAGCCGGTTTGAAAGGTCTTCAAAGACAAGGAACCAAACAGTGGCTGTCACGATCAACAAGCAAAGACTGATGCGGAGGCCGGCAGCCATGCCGACGTCCGTCTCTGTTCTCCATCCATGACACCTAAACGTAACCATCAGAGGAACCCGAGCAGACGCAGGGAGGACTCGGTTTCATAGCTGCTTCCATTTTGGATCCGGTGAAACGCCAACAAATCTCACATCAAACCTTAAATCTCACATTGTTCTTTTCCATTAGTGAAGAGCAGCAGAACACGTTCGGTGACAGTGACGCTGCGAGGCCATGAACCGGTTTGTCATTTATCAAACACCATCGTTTCCTGTGATGGTGCAAACTAGTATTTTTTATAGCGTTACGTGACAAAAAGCCGCAATGACTGAGTTGATGAACATCATGAAGCCGATGACACATAATCTGCAACAGAATCAGAATTTAACAAATAAAATGTTAAAATCACATTTCAAATACAAACGTGAGCTGATGAAGTCCGTTAATTAAGTGTCTGACACATTTCAGAGAATAAGCTGCTACAAAAACTGTAGTTTCTGGATCCTCCGTCAACAGAAACATCTTAAATTCAAACCGGACTGTGGATTTGAATCAAACAAAAAGTTTATCGAGCCCCAACCCTGGTGTTATTTTTAATTGTATCATATTTTTACACTGATGTGAAGCACATGGTTGTGAAGCACATCTACAAAACAACATCGAACTCTCATTGTTGGATGCGATGCAGCTGAGGACATCGGTGGTTTCATGTAAACTCATCCATCCAATGAGGAAACCTGCAGACGTGGATCCTGAGGTGAAGAACAGTGGTTTTACATCGGCGTTGAAACAAAGACGTTCTGCGGAGCGGCGCGGGGCGTATTTATTAATGAGTCCCAGACTTTATAACCTGTCAGTAGTATTTCCTGTGTCATGTGTGTGTCGCCGTCGCAGGAGATTACCCAAAGCCCTCTGCCTTCTTTCAGCGAACAGTGATGCCGCTCACACATCAGTGAGTTTTATTTATTCATGTAAATCCTATTTTAAATGGCTGACTTCAAAGATCCTTGTTTACCGTGCTGAAGGAAGAGCTGCGTCTCCTTCACAAAGCAGACGGTGTTTGTGGTTCCGTTTATTTTATTTTTTTATTTCTGGCCCCAAACTGAGATGAGGTGGAATTTAATCTCTATGAGAAAACCCCACGGTGGAACATCTCGCCTTCCTCTCTCTCTCTCTCTCTCTCTCGTCATCCATCCTGCAGCGTTTAAAGGGAAAAGCTTTGGATTGTAGTTGTAATGGGTCTGCTCTCAAACACACATTTAGCTCATTAATAACTCAGATAAGTGCATGCTTACTACGTCTCGACAAAGTACATGAAAATGCCTTTTTACAGGCCAGTGCCCAGTTACATCAATAAAATAAATACTTTCTTATTTCTACTGTAAAGAAAAATGTGTTGCTCTGATTTAACATCTGTCATTCTCTCACAGGGAATATCTTGAAGAATTTTAAGTTGAAGTTCTGAGGATTTCTTTAAAGTGTTTCAAGAAGTTTTGTTCATAATTTCTAAACTCAGAAAGTCAGCGGCTGATTTCGGTGAAAATTGTTTCTTGAGCTCTGCCTGAATCTTATAAAACCACAAGGTCAGAATTTGAATAATATTATTATAACCCAGACTTTTACATTTCTAAACTCTCATCTTCACAGATCTCAGCAGTGAGACTGGTGAGTACGATGACGGTACTTTAAAGAACAAAAGAAATAAGTGACCTGTTTTTATTCGTGAACAAGATGTTAATGTGCCAAAATGAGTTTTGTAACTTTTAAAACCTTTTTTCTGGTTTGTTTGTTTTTTCTTTGGACTGGATAAAACTTTAGAATATTTTCTTCCTCTTTAGTTCTGATTGTTTTTCATTTCATGCCTTCAACCACAGTGTTTTGTGAAATCAGTGAGGAACGCCTCCACTTTTTTTAAAAACAGAACTCTTGAGGTTTTCCTGCAGGTCCCTTAAAGGAAATGTCTCAATATAAAGACAGAGGTAAACCATCAGCCCAGCTCCGTCTGACGGGGACGAAATCAACACATCAGCCCCTCGAGAGCTCAGTGATTAACACGATCCATCAAGTTTGTTTATTCTGCACAACAAGCCCAGTTCAAAAAGGCTTGTTGTGCTTTTACAGCCCTGTAACTTCCACGAGTCTGCAGCTAAAATGTTCAGCATTCAACTGTTCATGATTTTCTCATTTTAACGATCATTTGTTTTAGAAAATGGCAGAAAATGAAATTGTGTCAAATTTAGAAAAAGAGGAAATTGTCTTCGAGAGGCTGGACATGTAAAAATGACTTGATCGATTGTTTGAGACCTAACCTGATTATAGTCGGAGGAGAAGACTCCAGAAAGTGACCACATGTCTTAATAATCAAGATGTTGATGTTTAATTTGGTAAAAAAATTCATCAGCGACTTGAAAATCAGGCTTTGACTCACGTGAACGAGGCTGAAGGTGATGTTGTTTCCTGCAGACAGAACCATGCTACCGGTTTCTATTCAGTCTTTATGCTAAGCTAAGCTAACAGCTGTCGTTCCACAAGGTTTGATGTAACTGGGCATCGGCTCCAACCCATCATGCAGTTCTGTGTCCACTCAGGGTCTTCAGAGGAAAAATTAAAATGCAGCGCGGCTTCTTTAATAAACGAGTCGCAATGACGACCGCGGAGACATCGTACCCATGGATCTTAATTTCTAACTCTTCATCCATCCATCATCCACACAACTTCTCGTCTTAGACTCATTATCTAACTTTAATTAAATACTTTAGATTTACAGCTGAACACCAGAGAACTCTTTCCAGGAAATTAACAGGAAAACACCGGACCTGAGAAATAGAGTGAATTCTCCTGAACCAGAGTTCATGAAGTTCAGACCTGATGATCGATGTGATGGTCGGACACGTGTTTGAAATATCATCCAACTGTAAAGTGCTTGTTTCTGCAACTGTGCTTTTGTTCGTTCGGTCTGTTTTGTTGTGTCTCTTTTTCTCTATCAGGGACTCGACCCAGCAGCCTTCTCAAAAAAAAAAAAAGAAATACAGTAATAAAGTTAATGAATGTTGCCTTTAGAATAAACATCTCAAATAAAGTCCAGTCGTCGAGCCGAACATTAACATCTGACAGGAAGGAGCCGAGGCTGCAGGCGTTCGTACCAGGTGACTGAGCGACGTCACGGTGGATCAGAGCGTCAGTGACTGAACATGTGTTGAGCAGCTTCAACACAACACGGGGCTCGACGACAAAACGTTTCACAACAACGGAAGAAAATGTCAATTTGTAAAAATCTCTGAAGCAAACATTTGAATGCATTATGGGGGTTTTTTTTGGTCACGTGATCAATGGCTGTTTTTTTTCCCTTTTAACTGTCTTTTCAAATTAAAATGATGGTTATTTAAACCGCAGGGGCCTCGTGTGTTCATTGATTTGTGGGTTTACAGCAACAACAAAAGCTGATTCCTGAAACTGGATGATTTTCATGTGAGAGACTGATGGTTAAAATGCTTCTCATTCATAAAGCAACTATTATTAATTCATGTTAAAGGGCAAAGTGGCACAAAGCCTCGTGAGTCTGTTCCATCTCTGGACGTCTATAAAGACAGAATGTTCATGTATGTGTGGACTAAACATCACGGCTGTTATATGTGGGTTACATGCTGATTACATGTGCTGCACAACACATGACTGTAATGTGCAGTGACGGCTGCTCTGAGTCACAATCATGGAACTAAACAAGCTTTTACACAAATTCTTCAACCACGATGAAGCTTATTATTTTATTTCTCAACATTATAATGAACAATGCAACAACCACGGCGCTGATACACAAACAAAGTGAAACACAGGAGGTGAAGTTGTATTTATTAGTTTCGTTGTGCGTCACAATAAGTTAAGTAGGTTAGAAATACACAGGAGAAGTCAAATGTACCTCGGAGCTGAACCGAAGCAGCAGCGGAAACATCTTAAATATAAATATAAAATCATTTCGCTGCTAAGTAGAACACAACGCTCCACACAACATGAGGGTTGGGATCCCAGATGTGGTCACCGGAAGAACTTGTGGGGTCGAGAATTAAAGGGGAATCAGACAGATACAGAATTTAGCCCAATTTCTGCAGGGAGGAGCGAGGTGTGATCGCACGCTCCCGTTTCTGTCTTTGACTGAAATTTTTAATGAGACGTCTTCAGGCTCTGGCACAGTTGAAGTATCGTCACGACTCAACTCTCCAAACTCCAAACAAACACGTTTCCTCCTCCCTCTGTTGGAGCGCAGCTCCGCACGCTGTTTTCTGTTTGAACCCGAGAGAAGAGTCTGACCAGAACCTGATGTGGACAAACTCGGAGACGTCAAGACCTCAGAGGTTCTGATTCCTCAGGGTCCCGGTGGTTGAGCCAAGAACATGACAACACACTACATTTAAATAAGACAGAGAGGAATCAAACCCTTCTCTGGGAAACCTGCTCGTTATTTCCTCCCTCTATAAACAGAAACCTTGAGGCCGAACGTTGCATTGGTCCAGATTTACCGAGGTAATAACTTCCAAAGGGAAAAGAATAAAAGTCTCTGAATGGCAGCAGGTGTGAGACTGGACGCTCTCTGCTTGGTGTGAGTGGTCCAGTCACAAAAAACCTCCGCTAACATTTCTGCTTCAGATTAGATTTCAGCTTCGTGAGTCGTCTCGTCTAAAGGGGGAAAGAAAATGATGTTTTGATTTGATGAATGTTGTGTATATGTTTGAAGAGCATCGTGAGCAGGCGGGCGTGTCCCGGGGGACGTTTTTAAGTCGGTCTGTCGGACGCAGCTGAGGGAAAATGATGCTGAAATATTTATATGGAGTACATTAGGCCATGCGTCTCTGTGGGTGGTTGAGAAGCTGCTCAACCACGAATCTGATGAACATCTCTGCCGGCGTCTGACCAGCTGCTCGACCGAGACGCTGTCTGGACATCAGACTAACTAGTGTGTGTGTGTGTGTGTGTGTGTGTGTGTGTGTGTATTCAGAGGAGACATCATTTAAAGAACAATACTGAGGAGGAGGTTGTGCAACATTTTCTTCTTGTGCCTCAGAAACGACAGGATGTTCAAATGTCCGAATCTCTCGGCGGTCGTCGCATCTGGAGGTTTAGTACGAGGACGAAAAGTAAACACAGCTGCTTCGCTCGTTTCAACCCAACTTCCTTGAGACTTTATCTTTTCAGCCATGACGCTGGTGCTGGCTGTGCAGGTGGCAACTGGTCCGAAAGTGGAAATACACCCGAAGGTATTGGATGGACATTTTCTACAGTGAATTCAAATTCCCCAGAGGATGACGCCTGCTGGGTTTTGGGGCCCAGAGGTTAGAGAAGAGGGTTTGAGACCCAGAGGTTTGAATCCTTAATGAAACTAAAAGTGACAGAAACCGTCTTTGAGTAGTAATGATTTGACGTGTCCCATCTGCGAACATGGAGAAGAAGAAACTCTCCCTAATGAAAAGTGGCTCCATTAGCTCCACTAATCAATTATTATCATTTAGCACAGTTGCTTCGCTGTAATTATACAAAAGGAGGCGTCGTGTATTTTGATTCATCACCTGATGCTACTGAAAATAATGTTCCTCATAAAAAATGTCTGAATGTTGACTTGCTTTTTAATTTAGTCACATTTGAACCTCCATGATTCCAGAAGCTAATTAAAAAAATAAAGCTCATAAAGTATTTAAACAGTTAAATTCATTGTCCCCTGAGGACGACTGATCCTGTTTCGATTCCTTTTTTTAAACATGAATAGTTTTAATCTCTACAGGTTCAGAACTTTGGATGAAGTTCACCTCCTTCAGTCAGTCTTCGTTGTGAAGTGTTTACAGGTTTTGGTCAGTCGATGCGTGTGTTCGAATCCCTGACACGTAACTTTAACAAGCTCAAAACCCAAATTATCGGGACACATTACTTCATGACACACCTGCAAAGAAGTTTTTTCGTCCTCTCCCTCTGGACCGACCACGCCTCCTGTGATTCTCCATCCACCCTCCAGACGTCCTCAGACTGAACCTGCTCACCTGTCTCCTCTTCCTTCCCTGTCCACTCACTCTCAAACCGTCCGTCTCCACCGGCTCTTCATCAGATCGTGTCCTCGTATGTAGCTGCCTCCTCATCCATCTGTTTTTAAACCTCGTCCTCCTGAGGGAAACATCTGAGTTCCCTCACTGCGTCTTCCTGCTGCTTCCACCGGCTCTGCTACAAATCCACTCTGTTTCTTCCACATTGACGTAAACTGACTCAGATTACAGCTGAGGCCCTTTAATGTAGAACCCGTTATTTTATTTCAGATTCATTGTGCTGAAGCTCAGAGCCTGAGAATCGGGGCCTGTGTGTTTATCGTCTCCATCTCGTGGGGGATCGAGAGTGATTGTGATCAGTGAAACCAGCCTCTGGCTCCTTCAGATTAAAAAAGCTGCTGTACCCTTCTCTCAGTCTCATCTTCATCTTGATTTTTTAATTCTCCTCCTCGGCTGCTCCGACACTCTGAGCCAATCCCCCTCAACACTTCATTGTTATGCAGATGAAGCCCAGTTAACTCGCCTCTGTAAATCCAAATGGGACGGATGCCATTTCAGACGTCACAGACAAAAATGTTGGAGTCGGTCTTAAATGCACAACCTGACTCAACACCCTGGGAGACACACGGCTGCTAATAATAATAATAATAATAACCGGGTCCGTCACCGCAACACGAGGTGACGTGAGGTCGTATCGGGGCCGGTTGTGTTGCTTGTTGGCACTTGGGGGAAAGTTTGAACATCAGAAGTTTGTAGACTGAAAAAAATTAAATAAATTCTTGTTTATTATAAAATGTTTAATCCCACTTAGTCTCAGCAGCGCTCCGATGCTCTCTAGTGGCCAGAGAGGACTGGAGACATGTTCAGGTTCATAAATTTAATTAGTATTATTATTTGAAAAGGTTTTTTTACGACTTTCCTCAAACTGTCCATCGCTGCTGCTCCTCTCTTCAGCCTCTGTCTGAAACACTTGGTTTCACCTCCTGTCTCTGTAATGTCACGTTCCGTTACACCTCGGAGCTCGGGATGACTTCACACCCGAATAACCCGAGTAGGAACAATGTTTACATCAGCCAGTTATTAGCCAAATGCGCTACGCAGCATTTCACACGTACTAGCATCGTAGTAAGGAAGTGTTTCCTCTTCACAGTCTCAGAGTGCTGCTCATTGTTGAACTGTTGGTTTCTCTATATTAAAAAAAAGATTTTAAGGTCTTGACCTTCTGTGTAAAGAGCCTTGACACGTCCACAGAAGTTAACTGAAAAGTTTGAATGACAGAAAAGCTCATTGTGGAGGCGGCTGGGGGAGGGAGACCTTCACCTGGACCAGAGGATCGATCAGCGCAGGTGAGAGCCGTTAGCTGATTGGTCCTCTGGTACAAAAGGCAGCAGCACAGCTTCCTCAGGGGACAGACACACAGACAGACAGAGACATGTGGGAGAGACACTGAGCTGCAAACCAGAAACAGCTGGGCCCCTTTAAGTTTAGTTCAATTTACGTGACGTGTGTTGAAAATGTGCTGAAAAGCAGCTGCTTTGTTTCTGGCTGCTGTGGCGAGAGCGCAGTGGTTTGGTCACTGCCACAACGATCGACTGTAAAAAGTTCAGTGTCTTGCTCAAGGACACTTCAGCGTTCAGAGCTGGTCAGAGAACGGCCGCTCTACCCCCTCAGCCACAGCCGCCCCCGGTCTGATTGGTCCGTGTTCAGCCTTGAATGTGGGACGTGCTGATTGTTGTTAAGCTGTAACTCGCTGCAACTTCTCATTTTCTAACAACTCACAGCCTTGACTCTCGCGCTTATCTCAGATCCAACCACTGTGATTCGATAAATATCCGCAGCACGGTTCAGTCCGTGCCGCTCTCTGTAACATTCGTTTCTCAAAGGTTTATAATAAAACTCTCAAAAGACATTTTTGCTTCTCGAATCCTCGTCGTTTATTTTGTTTCAGATTTTCCACCTCACCAACTAAAGACGTCAGTTTCCCTGAGAGGTTTCAGTTTTACACAACAAGGTCGCAATTCAAATCATCACATGTGCAGCGGCTACATTCACAGTTTCCTAATTATCAAGGCTCACGAGACGAGTCAACGTGACAAGAAAGAAAAACAGAAAAACAGAACATTTATCAAATCAGCAGGAGTAAAGAGAAAAAACTCTGAAGTCCTGTCCTCACTTCTTTTTGTCCTCACTCAGCCTCTGTAGCGAACAGACTTTCATTATAAAAGGCTCAGGCCCCTAATCTCTTGAAGTAGTACCCACTGTGCCATCCAGTATTTCCCCCCCTTTCATTTTCTACGCATGTGAACTTCAGTCTCCAGCTTCCACACGTTACCTTCACACAGTCACAAGTTCCAAAGATGCTTTGATTGAAATGAGCAGCTTAGCGCTCGCTCGTGTTGAAAACATTTTTTATTCCAGACGGTTTAACAGCTTTGAATGTTTTTATGCCGTTCGAGGCAGAAAGAGTCGTCAGTGATTCAGAAGTCCTCACAGAATCATTTCCTCTCCACACGGTTTGACTATTAGTGAAACTTTGACCGATAGGAAGTAACAGACACCGTCCCACATCCCGATTCACGATTTCCTCTTTTTCACATTTTCGTGATGTCCACAAAGTCGTTGATGTCGATCACCTGGAACCCCAGGTTGTCGATGCCGCCCTTCTGCTGGCTGTGGCTGTTGTGGTTCCTCTGGTCCATGTCGCTCTCGAAGCAGTGGACGCAGTGCGGTGTGGTAACCCGGACGCTTTTGGAAAAGTTTGAGAAATCCACGTGGTACTTTCCGGTCTTAGTGCGGGAGATGATGGGCAGGAAGCTGTACCCCCACTGGATTTCCTGCGGGATGTAGGAGGTTCGAACTTGGCAGGAGGAGCTGGTGGACTCGGCCATGCCGTCCAAGAAGACCACCAGCTCGAAGTCCTGCTGGGGGAGAGTGTCGGCTGAAAGCTCGTAGAAGGGACTCGACCCGTTGATCACGTGGTAGAGGGTCAGAGGGCAAACGAAAAACAAGTTATCCTTGCCAGCGTCGACTATGAAGTCGATGTCCACCTGGTCCAGAATGATGGTCTCTCCGTCTGGCGTGGTCGTGGTCCTCAGCAGCTTGCCGTAGATCTGGCTGCCGATTAACAAGGTCTTCCGGAGGTTGGCCACTCGGATCAGGAGACACAGACTTCCTTTCTTCAAGCAGATGACGGCTGTTGTGCTGAAGGTCACAGTCTTTGCCCTTTTTTTGGGCGATGAGATCTTGGCCAAGACGACGCCGCACATGAAGCAGTTGATGAAGACTCCGATTAGAGACTGGACGACAATCAGAGCCACTGTGCCGGCACAGTGCCCCGTCAGCGCCCTGCCACCGTACCCAATGGTGGTTTGGGTCTCTAGGGAGTACAGGAACGCCGTCGTGAGGCCGTCAACGTTGTCTATACAGTGCATGTGCCCGTCTGTGCGGTTCTGTCCGGTCAGGTCGCCGTTGCTCTTTGCGATCCAGTACCACAGCAGGCTGAAGATGAACCAGCTCCCGGTGAAGGACGCCACGAACAGGAGGAGGACGAAGCGCCAGCGGATCTCCACGAAGGTGGTCCAGAAGTCCACCAGGTACGCAAAGTGGTTGCTGTACTCGATGTTGCCAAACTCAATGTTGCAGCGCCCGTCTTTGGTGACCAGGCGGGATTTGCAACTTCGGTGTCCGTGGAGCAGCCGCAACATCCTGGAGCTGCAGGGAGCGAACGCAAGAGTTAGTTCAGAGGCCGCATCCACGAAATTCAGAGCAGGACGTTATTGAATCGAACAGTCGAGACAGTTTTACCAATTTGGCTCGTGGGGGATTCACAATCTGTACAAAATATGAAAACTTATCTGTCATGTTTCGGAGAAGGAAAAATTCTTCATTGATTATAATAATGGCCAAACAGTTGAGTCAGAGGGATTTGTTTGTGTTGTCTTTTTGGATTTGCGTCCCTGTACCTTTAAGGATTTGTCTTAAAGATTAAAACTGACGATAATAAAATGCAGCTCATAAAACTTCCTTATGTCCAAAAACACGTGAATGAGTCACATTGTTACTCTGAGTCACTTCCACATTCACCATCCTGCTGCACAACTGTGATAAATGTGTATTCACATTGTTCTTTGTACATAATTTATGAACAAACAGAAACATATACAACAGCTTCAGGCTCAATCTCAGAGACTTGGACTTTGTAGGAAACACTGCTGGAACATTTGATTACATAACCTTCAGTTTAATATGAAACTGTAACGCTTCAGTTTGTTTTTTTCCAAGAACACGTAAAAGCTCGAGGCGTTTGAATGTTGCAGCGATTAATGGGTGACATGGGTTCACGTGATGAATAAGAATTCAGAGCATGAAAAAGAACAGAGCAGAGAATACGTTCAATTAAATTTCCCCTTTTTCCCGTTAGTACAATAGAAGCACAGTGAGTTTGTTTAGCACAGAGACGTGTGAAGATATAGAATCGTCTTATTCAGTTATAATGTGTGTGTGTTCTGTACAGTGTGAACCACGTGTCTCTCTGAGTCGGTTACATAACAGCCGCTGATCAGAGTCGAGATTTACATTCAAGAAATGTGCAAACTTGAGAACTGAAATAAAGTTTTTGATAACCTGTTTTTTAAATGTGTTAATAACTTCAGTGCACAAAAGTGTCTCAACACACAAAAAGCTGAAGTAACTTATTAAATGAACTCATTCAAATCCTGGTTATGTTCATTTTTAGCCTCCTGTCTTTATTTAGTGTCGGTGAAGTCTCTTTGTGCTGCTGCCAACACTTGTTTCTTTGTATTTTCACAAAAGGACTTTTTCACATTCGGCTACAGACGATGAGAGAACGAGACATTATTATATTTCATCCCTTAATTAGCTGAAATGTTAAAGCAGCTGTAAATACTTCAGTAAAGACAGTTTGACTAAAGACTCAATTCACACACGTCTCAGAACTTCAGAACTCAAAGTGTAACAAGAGAAAAGTGTAACAGCCTCAGGTCTGTGGACAGACACAGAGGACATCTGGACGTACCTGTGAACTGAGACCATGGACCCAGACCGCTCACTGCAGCTCTGCTGGAACTTCTCCTTTCTTTCAGCGAGTGGCCATGGAGGCGTTGGAAAGATTTTAATCCACAGTGAAATGTCCTAATCCCAGCCACATGCCACCATGTACACTGCCTCCATCCAGACACGGGAACCAGCCACAGAGCTGCCAGGGGACGTCAGTTGTCTCTGACTGGCAGAGCGACACTCTGCATTATTCCAATAAAACCAGTGAGATCCTCATGATGGCTGCAACTGAAAAAGTTCTGGAGACAAAGTTTGGCAAGAAAATCCCTCAGAGCTTTTGTGTGGCAGAAGGTGAATCCATTGAAGGGGCTAACGTGGCCGGTGGAGCACCCATGCTGTTTTTGTTTTCAACCCTGAGAACATTTGGGATTTGCATCGGGCCTCACAAAGAAATCCCTCAATTGCATTTCCCCCTTGGTCCCCATCCCCCCCCTCTTGTCCACACTGGAAGGCTGCCTCACATTTGCATTAAAATGAAGAGCTGCAGGGCCGAAGTGTCTTTGCCGTGTTCTGCCGGCTGCACGAGGAGCATTTTCATATCGGCGCAGCACATTTCCCTGATCTGTTGTGATATGAAAGAGGCCTTGCATGGAGAGGATGCCTCCCAGCGATGGATGCAGATGCCACTGATGTGTAAGTGACGGGAAAATTGGACGATTCAAGATGCACGACTGTGTTTTCTGCTGAACTGACGCAAATGCACAGGCCCTGCATCAATCTGAGAAACTTTTACAGGCGTCTCAGGTGCATCTTACACAAAATAACATCCAACCAAGTACTGCACATCACTGAATTCTGCAGACTAGATAGGTGGATAGATGGATAGAGAGAGAGAGAGAGAGAGAGACATGACCTTTAAATCATGGTCCATGCTCATTAAAAAAAAAAAAGCAGAAATTATAGAAAATTCTAAATTATTTTAAATATATTTGTATTCTTCCCTTGTCTGTGACTCTTCTGGAGCAGCGTGTGCATAAACTACCAGATGTGACGTGAGCTTTAACGTTCACATACTTGCTGTGTACTGCACGTACCACTGGAGTATTCCACTGGATTATTCACACCACTGAACTCAGGCGTCTGGATTTGTATTCCATACATAAAAACATGGCGACAGTGGGAGGTCACATGTTTTCTTCCCCAATTATTGAATCATCTAAAGGTCATTTTCATTCTTTAGTCTCATTTTCAAATTTGAAAAGCTAATTGTTGGTGCATCTTTAAATTGTTATCACAAGTATAGAATCAGATCTTTTGTTTCCGATAAGGAATCGATACTGACTGATATATACACACTTGTATAATCACGTTTGACATTGGACATTAAATCCATGTGTTAAATGTGGTGGTGCTCTTTGCTGGTTGCTTGATTCACAGGAGCTCAGCACAGAAATGGCTCCATCTGGTGCACAGTTCCTGAACAATTTAAAAAGATCTATCTGGATGTATGTGCACAGACTTTCCCCTCAACGTTCAGACACTCATATTTCACATCGTGACCTTGAGGACCCACCCACACCAAAAAAAAAAATCAAATCACAGTCACATCTTATTTTAGTTTCCTGGCAATACAATGATAAATAACCCATCCCATGTAAAAACATGTTTATATAAACTAAAACAGAGAATTGAAGTCGTTTTCTTGTTACTGTGTAAAAACAACATGAAGGTCTTTCTTCATGTTCTTCATAGATCATTTCTATTTGTGCATCTCACAGAGTGATTTTTGTTTTCACAGACGAAAAGTAAAATTAAATAACTGAAGCATCGTCTTCTCAGAACACAACATTCAATTTGCTCAAAGACAATTAGTCATTTCTGCATCTACACATTCGAGACAAGAACTTCAGACCTGATCATTCAGGCCACTGAGGATAATGGATCAAGCCTGAACGAGTCGAGATGGATCAGTATCCGTTAAACAAAGTTACAATCTAATGATCTAAATACTCTTTGGTCTAATTTTGTAAGAACCCAGAATTTAAACCACATATCCAAATGAGTCAAATATTCCATATGCAAACGTTAGTCAGTGATCGTGGTAAAATTCAATATTAACATTTATAATTATCCATGAGATCCATGATGAGGTGCATAAGAATATACCCTTATTATCAACCTATTACTAATTGATAAAATATTACATGGCGTACTCTATGTACACTGCACGATGTACATTTGACTATAAAATGTACCAGAATGTAACAAAAATACTATAATATAAATCATTACAGTACATGAAGGAGTATTGTAAAGCTTTTGCTCAGAATTGCATCATATGAAGAAACAATAAACATTATGTGTAGTGCACATGTGAAGTCATCTGATAAGTTTTAACATGTAAAGACTGCGTACGTATTGCACAAAGGCTCCGCACTCCGAGGTTCAGAGGAAATCTGAACTGCAGAAGTCAGGATTTTGGTCGTTTCTACAGTTTTTTCTCCTCACGACTTTCTGTTCTTTTATTCTGTAGTTGTTCCTCAAGGTTTTCTTCAGAAAATTTCTTCCTCCACTTTGCAACTGAGTTCACACGGTCCCCTCGGAGGACGACTCAAGAAATCCAGAAAAGGCCTCGTGGTCTCAAACGTAACATGATCGATGATATGAACTTTAGAATAATGATGTCATTCTTGGAAAGCTAACATCACTGAGATCTTTTCTCTGAGAGATGATCTACGAGGTACTTGTTCTAGAGAGATAACGAATCATCTTGTTGCTGAAGATAACGCTGAGATCATTTAAGTGGTGGATGAGATCTGGGAACACTGAGGCATCAAAGTCAGGACACACGGATAAAAATAAAATGAATGTATGGATGAGAAGCAAAAGCAACTCGATAGTAAAAACCTGAAGCTGAAACAACTGCTGCTATCAGATCCCAGATTTCAGTGATTCATTCGGTACAAACAGGAAAAATGTTCACATGTATGAAAATAAAACCAAGGTTGTGATCGTCTGTCGCAGAGCGCACGGTTTGTTCCACGTCCTCTACACGATGTTCCTCTCCAGCATCGGCTCCCGGGCCAGAATCCGTCTGAAGTTGAATGCACTCAGGTCCAGCGTTTTAAAGTGTCCGTCCAGGATCAGCTCTGCCACGGCCCGACCCACGGCGGGGGAGTGCTGCAGGCCGTGGCCGCTGAAGCCGGTGGCGAAGTACATGTTGTTGACCAGAGGGTGAATACCGATGATGCCGTTCTGGTCCAAGGTGTTGTAGTCATAGAAACCTGCCCACGCGCTGGTCACCTGAGGGCGGGGACAAGAGAAGACGGGTAAGGACGAGAATTAAAGTCATGATGATGAAGAGAAGTAAAGACAACAACAGATTGTTGTTGCTTCAAATGCTTCACCACTGGTAGCTCATTTAAATTAAATCTAATATATAGAGCGAAACAAACAAGTTAACGAGATGGAAACTGTTTTTTTTTGTATCTGGTGTCACGTGTACGATTTGTAACTTCAGCCACTAGGGGTCTCTCACTTAAACGATAACACAAGAGCTCATTCGATGATGTCATTAAGCAGCATGGGATCATGGGAGCTGTCTTCACCATCAGTGTTGATGAAAATCTATTAAAGTTTTGATCACGTTACGCAGCAAAGATTTAGATTTCTAACAGCTTCAGAAACAAACGACCGTCTAATGTGATGTTGGACATCCTGGAGTGAAATGGACTTCTGTACTTGTAGAGTGATTAGAACAGAGACAGAAATCGCAGCTCTCACCTTGAGCTTCTCAAAAGCAGGAACACGATGAGCCAAAGACGGCCAAATCTTCTCCTCAAAAAAACTATGATCCACCTCCAGATTACTGATATCCGGCTCCTCCGCCTGAGGAAGAACAAATCAGATCTTCTATCAAACTGGTTCTTTCATATGTGTAGACGTGGTCGAGAGAAAAAACTTGAGATGCAACAAACCTCATCCGGTGACGCACCAGCGATGTAGTTCCCTCCTAGCCCCTCTCTCCTGAAGTAGACCCCGGAGTAATCGACCAGGAAGGGGGTGTCCAGACCTGGGCCATCAGGAGAGTGGACCACATACACAAACCTGGCAAAATAAAACCCACAGGCCTCAGCATGAGGAGCGTGTTCCCTCAGAGCTACAGATAATGTACTTCAAGATGACATTAAGTTAATTCTAGTTTTGTGAAAACGGTCCGAGTTGAAACGCTTCCTCTGAGGTTTTACTCCTGAGTCTCAGGATCGCCCCTCTGGCTCCCTGATGCAGCGTGAGGAAGGATTTAGTGAAGAAGAGAAGCTGGAGCTGGTTTTTGTGCAAAGTGGAAATGTGTGTGACAATGAGATTATTATAAATAACTAGAAGGGAAGAGCTCAGGCCTCAGCCATGGAGAACACCCACCGTCTGGATCAATTTATCTGGATCTGCTCCAACAATTATTGGTCTTTATTGGGTCATGCTCCTCGATCATATCTGTGCTGAGCAGTTTTAGTTTCCTTTTCAAATTATCAGGTATTAATAATAATAATAATAATGACGATAGGTACTAAATGTGTAAAATAAATAATTACAGACCAGTAGTCAAGCCCCCGGGTGAAGAACCCCTGGTTAACAGCTGGTTTCTTTCAGTTTCCTATTTTTGGTTGTAACACGACACAGGTTTTAAATTACATTTAACTTGGTGAATCCTGTGAATCCTGTACGCGGAGAGAACGGCATCAGAATTCTACCCTAATGATTTGGGGCAGTGAAGCGCTCTTCGTTGCTTTCCCTTTTCTCCAGCAGAGAATTTTAAGAAACAGTGACTCTGAGGTTGAAGTGCCGACTTAATGTTGTGTTTGAGGGGCTCAGGGGTTTGGATTATTCGTATGCAGTTCATCAAATGTGGAAGTAAACACCCTCGAAATTAAAGCTGACAGTCAGCGCTATGAAGTTGGACAGTTTTCCAATTTACTGGAGCGCAGGGTGCAGATGAAACTGCCAGAATACTAATGAACTGTGCCGTGTGAGGCTCCGACAGCCAAAGGAAACCAGACATTTTGACAGCACGAGTCGTTATTTAAAGGGGGAATATACCCGCTAAGTCGATGACCAACCTTTTCCGAGGCTCGACGGGCAGAGGCATTTCAGCAATGCCGCCTTTAGGGCCGAAGCCAATTCCCATGATCTGTGCCAGTTTAGTAGAAAAGGCTCCTGCTGCATTCACCACAATGGCACATTCCACCGGCTGGTACTCCAGGCTGTTCGGCATCTGCACCTGCTCGACACAAGCAGACCGCCCATCATTCACTGTGAGGTCCTGTGGTGGTGAGTCACTGAAGCGAAGCACTTCCACATCTTGGAGACTGGACCTGATCATTGCTCTTTGCACATATTGATGTTTCATCACAGATGTGAAGAGATGTTTCAATAGTAAAGAAGCAGTAGTTGTGTATTATTTATAAGTTAACATGAGAATTTAAATGGTTTCTGTTATATATTAACCTGAGACTTGTGAAAACTGTCCTGACGTGTCAGTGATCAAAAAAAAAGTGCTTCAGTGACTCTGGATTGTAAATTCTCACAGTCTGACTTACTTTGACAGATTTTATTCTCTTCAAATCCAGCATTTCACCCTCTGGAGTTGTCCTCACATTTACTGTATATGTGAAATCTGCGGAGGAAACAGTTCTAGTTAAAAACTCTTGCGTCACAGTAAACACACACAGGGTTTGTGTTGAAATCAGTTATAGTTTAACACGTTGGCTCTCTGCATCTTTTAGATAACTGCTCAACTTTTTAAACAGAACCAACCTGTCACTTCTCCACAGCACTGGATCACTCCCATGGAGATGGCCTTCTTTCTGAAGGCGTTCAGCAGAGTCCAGGGGTCAAACCAGCCCTCGTTCTCCAGCCCTGGAAGACGGGACGAGTGGAAATGATTGTCAGAGCTGCTGGATGAGTTGATGCACCCACACATCAGGGTTATTTACTGGAGTGATGACATAAACAAGCTCAACCACTCATCAAAACCTTCTTGAATTCACAAAAAATAATAAAACTACTTCTCGAAGTGATGTTGTATTTTTGTACTGGCACTCACCATATGAAGCAAGTGCCACACCATCTGTGTTTATCCACGGAAACTTCTCCTTCAGTTGTGTGGGAGAGAGAAGTGAAACTTTGGCTCCGGCAGACCTGGGATCAGATCACTGGATTAATGACACCTCAGTTCTGCAAACTGAAAACCTCCTGCATGAATTTTCTGAACAGAAATGTTCTCTGCTTGTTTCCCACAGGAACGACCTGATTTGTGTCGCACAGTTCTACTGAATGAAAATGAGTCAGCACCTCTGGGTGCTGTAGTTCTCCTCCATGATGTGAGCCGCCATCTCGCTGGCCAGGAAGAGGTACCCTGAGTGATTGAACTGCAGGTCCACGGGGTCTTCGTTCATCACGCCGAGGTGTTCCTGACACCAGGAGAGACAGAGACGGGATAAAAAGTTTTAAACAGCGTAACAGGGTTGCATCATTCAGCCTCCAGCTAACGCTCAGATACAGCGAGCTCTACTGGGAGCTGCAGCAGTGGTGGTCCTATAAATAACACATGTCCTCAGGAGGGTACAGCAAAGACAATAAGGTTATTAAAGGAATAGTTCAATATTTCTGTCCATGAAATATAAGGCAACAATCAACAACTGTTAGCGTCACTGAGGTAACTAGCCAGAGGTTACTGCTCCAAGCTAAACAGAATACCTGCCATTCTACAGTATTTCTAATATTTATGTTTATTTAAGTAGAATTTAGCTGTTTAAATAAAGACAACATCCAGTGTAAATTCCAAACCTTAAAGGATTTTTTCAGGTAATTCTGCTGAGACTAATATGAGCCCAACTAACTGCAGCTTAAATCCAACTTTGTCAGCATGTGATATTATTAAAAAACCTTGAGAAACACAAAAGCTGCTCATGCTCACGTATGACTGGAACCTTCTGAGCCCTGTTGTCTCTGACATGTTTAATGATTTGAAGGATCGTCCTTCACTGCCGCTGTGCAGCGACCTGAGAGGCTCCAACAACAACAGCAGCAGTGACTCCAGCATGACCTACATTGATGTTCCTCATGAAGTCTGCGGAGGCCAGGGATAGGTGGATGTTCTCGGGCAGGGAGAACTGCTGTCGGATCCCCCCGGCAGAGAGCACTGTGGAGGCCTGGGAGTACTGGGGAGAAGCACATGCAGGAGGAGGTGGTTGATAAGGAAATGAGTGTTACACTCACTTTCACTGGGACCCTGTTCAGATGATTTGCACAGTATTATTGCAACTCTACACAAACAGAGTTTAATTGATTCAGCGTGTCTGATATTTTATAGGAATATTATCATTGACCCACTGGCTCCAAAGAAATGTGTCCAAAGTGTGTTATTACCATAGACTGTATATAAAGATATTATTATTACCCTCGACAAACACGACACAAGTCTTTATTTATTAGATTTTTTTTAGTTTATCCTGTATATGACTTTAGTTTATCCTTTATATGAATTTCTTTTTTTATTTTACATTGTTTTTTTGAATACCTTCCATGTAATGTGACCCACTGACTCCAAACCAATGCTGAGTAGTATTATGATCTTAGACAAATATGACACAGCTCTTTCTAGTAGAGTTCTATGCTTCTTTTATTCTCTATGTACAGGTCCAGGTAGCAGCAGATGAATACATACATATATATATACACAGCAGATGTACAATGACTGGTTAATAAAGTACTAGTTTGGAGTCAGTGACATGGCGGCAATTGAAATAAAGAATATGATTTGGTTTGTTAACAGTGGATGAGAATATAACAGCTGGGGTTCGATGCCGGTTCCTCACCGTTGGGTCCTTCTCCACCACGACCACCCGGACCCCTCCTCGGACCCTCTCCTTCTGCTTCAGCCAGTAGGCGATGGACCAGCCCACCACGCCGCCACCGACGATCACGATGTCGGCCCTCTCCGGGGGGAGGTTGGGGTTGATCTCGAAGGGGCTCCAGCTGCTGCCTGGAAGCGCCTCCGCCGCCTTCTTCCTCATGGCCGCCAGCTGCTTCTCCAGGTCTGGGCCAGAAAAGTAAAGATTTTACATTCATCCACCATTTTATTGCAGATGTTCACTCGCACTTTTACAACTCGACACAGTTTCTTGATCTGTAGCTTCCACTCTGTCATTCGGGATATGTATTCATTCATATATAAGAGAAAAGACGATCAACAAGACAACTTTACATTCAGAAATGCCTAAATTATACACTGATATGTTTCTACACACATATATTCAACTTGTACGTCAGAACTGAAACTATCTAATTAACTGTCAGGATCCTCTCTTCAATTCGGCCAAGATCTAATCTTCCAACTCTCATTTGATTTAGTTTAACAGGCGACATAAGCCTTAATGCACACCAGGATCTGGTCTAATAGTTTGCAATTAAACTAAACACAACGAGTGTTGGAAGATTATACCTGAGCCGAACTGTGGAGAGAATCCTGACAGTGTCCGAGATAGTTTCAGCTGCGACAGACAAGTTGAAAATATGTGTGCAGAAAGAAATCATTGACTAATTTGGGGGTTTCTGGATGTAAACTTGTCTGTGATCGACGTGTGGAGCACCCGGACTTCCCCCCTCCATGTCCCCGCACCTTTGTAGAAGTCATTCCGCAGAGATGCTCCGGTGTTCAGGCGTTGACGCGGCGTCAGACTTCCACTCGGCCCCGGGTGTTGATCCGTCACCAGGCCGGAGGAGAGGAGTCCGCGGGCGGTCCGCACGCCAGCGTGTAGCCTCCGCCACGTTAGCATCGCTGCTGCGGGCTGACTAGCTTGCCCCGGCTAACAAGCTAAGAGCTAGGCGCGGACAGGACGGCAGCGGGAAACGGTGCAAACCACAGACACGGGATCGAACTCACAACACGAAGCCGCATTTCTCCTGCGTGGAACTGTCACACGTGAAATCTGACTCTGAGGTCGAACCTCGTCAACAACACACAGAACAGCGGAAACACACCGGCCGGGCCGCGCTGTCCTTCAAAATAAAAGCACGGGGGGGATTTAACATAAGCTTTGATGAGATAAAGTTTGAGCTCATCTTGATCCACATCCTGGAAACATTCAGGTTTAACAGTAGCAGTGAAAAGTCCCAGTGATGTAGATGATTAGACAAAAGTATTAAAAAAGGCAATACAATGAAAATGAATAAATCAAATTATAATGTATCTTTCACTGTGGTGGTTTGTATAGAAATATCTTAAACACAGAAGATGTATTTCTGATATATACATTTATATTGTTTGACTCTTGCTGCTGTAATACTGCAAACTCACCCATTGTGGGAGGGACCAATTCATTATTATCTTATCTTATACATGTTTATAAGGTTGCAGCTAACATATTTTCATAAATTCATGACTATAAATTCCAGTAAATTAAATATTAAAACAGGTGAAAAATGTCCAGCGTGAAGAGGATGTCTTCATATGTCTTATTTTATCTGAACAACAGTCAGACATCTAAAGATAATTATTTTACTTTCATTTAAAGATGTGATAAGACTTTATTAGTCCCACAATAGGGACATTTTCAATATTACAGCAGCAAGAGTTAAAAAAAAAGGCATCAGCAAGTAATAATGAGTTACATGCAATACTAAAGTGTAAGAATGATAATACTCATGAATAAAAACATGTAGGCTATAGAGAGAGCATGTTTGGGAGAGTAGATGTTTACATGGGAACAATAGAGATTTTATTAGATTGAGATAGATACTTTATTGATCCTGGAGGAAATTCAATTGATGTGAAATTAAGTAAAGGGAACTTTATATATAACCATTTATTTCACTTGTGAGACCTTAAGGTGATATCTGGCACACTTATCGATAGGTGATCAAAACTTTCTGCTAGTGACCTTTCTAAAAACAAATCTTATACTGCTACAGTTCCTATATCATATTATATCATCTGATGAATATCACTTGCAGACATTGTAAACCTGCCTCCACACTGATGAAGTGGGATAAATCAGGGACGAACATTGTATTTTTATTTTGAAAGCGTCTCTGGGAAACGCGGTGATACTCCCGCTAACTTGGTTAAACTCGGAGGTGTTGGCTCGTCATGTGACTCGGGACCAATCAGAGACGAGGAAGGAGCCAAACATTTAATTTCCACCACATTGTGTTTCTCTGAGAATAAAAGAGAGAGAGGGAATAAAACCAGCTTCAACACGACACTGATGAAAATACTGCAGTAAATCTAGAAGTACTATCGTTGTATGATCCTCAGGGAAAAAAACTACAATTGGGATGTGAGTTTGTACTTGTACTTGGCCCAGCTGTAGGGATTTGTAGTTTTAAACATATATTTGTGCTTTTCTCAGAATAGGAGGTTGTTATAAGTTGACTGAGAACATTCTGTGAAGTTTGACCTGACATATTTGTGTAATCAGATTTAATAAGTAATGTTTAGTGGATGTAAACGATCATTTGAACCATATTTTACAACGGTATGTGACCTGTACCACAGATTAGTACTGAGACTGATGAAAAGAGAAAGAACAGGACGCAGAGCTAAACTAACAGACAACTTTCTTACTTGAAATGACATGTGAGTTCTCATTTAGGATTTTAAACCCTCGCCGTAGAAAGCCTCTCATTTTATAAATTAAAACATTCATATGACAGTTATCTAAGAAATCTCTACACTTCCATTCCTTGTTTGAATCCACCTGCGTCTCACTGGGATGCTTTGGAGACTCCAGGTATGATGAACGATCAAGTTATTATCAGATACAAACGAGAACATTGACAAGAGAATTCAAATTCCCTTTTTATTTGAATTTATCTTAACATATAAGTTTGAGAATGTTCACACTGAAATGTATTTCTTCAAAACACTCTTTTGAAAACGACACAAACAGCTGTAATTTGTTATTCAGCTTTTCTCTGTGGGCACCACATGTAAAGTCTCTAGATTTAAAAAATGAAATAGTAATTCATAATATGAATAATAATCTATGCCTTGTTGCTGCTCCCCACGCTCTGTTGAAAGAACTCCTTGTTAATGATGATCATGCTCTTCAGAAGCTTCTCCAGGTCTCTGACTCGGCCCAGGGTCATCACCAGCATCTGAGCTTGGGTCTTCAAAATGTTCCTCATCATAGCCTTCTGCTCCTTCATCTCATCGTAACTGATCAGCTCCTTGAGACTGTGTCTGTCCTCCACACTTTCATCCAGGGCAGCATCAGAGTCATTGTGCAAACTTTCTTTGGTTTTCTGCTGAGGCTGAGCTGCTGACGTGCACATCTCTCTACACTTCTTCACCGGCTGCTGCTCACGGTCTGGTTGGCTGCTGGCTGGAGGATGCTCCAAAGATTCCTCCTCATCACCTGATGTGGTTGGACAGATAGATTCAGAGATTCCTTTAAAATAAGAGAAGATAAAACGTTGTTGATCCACACAGGGGAAATTCAGTTGTTGATTATTACGGCCCTGCAGAATAGATTTATATCAACTGAAATCAACACACTTGCTATATCTCTAACTCACACAGTCCTATCCATCGTGTTTAATCAAACCAAAGTAGAAGATTCTCTCTCTAGAAGAAACTTTACTGATTTAGTTCACACATGTTTAAAAGGCACATTACCTGCCATGACTGTCAGTGCTGTTTCCTCTGGCTCCGTCTGTGGGCTCGACACTGAGCGTTGGAGTGATAACGGAAAGTTGCCGTTAATTAACGGTGAGCTCTCGTTAATACGGCACCGTCCAGCGGGTTGCCAGATCCTGCTCCGGTTTGACTTAAAGCTCCACCCGAGTGCTTATTCAAGGGTGCATTTGGTGGGTATTAGCGAACCTGGCAACCAATACAAACTGCATTTATTCGCTCCAACACACATGAAGGATCAAACATGACACACACATGATACATACATGTGGAAATGAATCAATACATACATATGAACGAACATAACTGTTGAAATACAGAAATCCTCAACTACTGTTTTTATATTTTCATTTATTTATGTGTTTGATCCGGTTCAAGATACAAGATATGGACAACCTGAATAAAGAAGTAATAAATGTAAAGATATCTTATATAATATGAATGACTTTATTATTATTATTATCGTTACTATTAGTAGTAGTATTAAGATATATTTTATTATTATAATCATTCTAATTGTTAGACTGATGGACTTATAAACTATGACTAGTCGAATTAGTCATAGTATTATAATATAAAAATATAATATTATTATTATTAGTAGTATTTGTATCTTTATCATTAGAAGTAATGCTAGTAGTAGTACTAATGTGAATCAGTCATAGTATTAATATGAATTACTCTATTATTATTGTTGTTGTTATTAGTAGTAGTAGTCTTTGTATAATTATTATTACTACAAGTAGTAGTGGTGGTAATTGTAGTAGAAGTATAGAAAACTTTTTAATAAGCATCAAAGTGTGAAACCTTCATTACTTGTCAATGCTCGGCTTTTATTGTGAGTGTTGTTTACGGAAGTAGCTTTTATTTTGGTGAGCGGATGTGTGCGGTGTGGTGGCCGCGGGCTTGACGCGTGTGTTTTCAGTTCCCCGGGGCCACAATGTTTTCAACGGGACTCAACTCGCTCCTCCGCGGACTCTCCGTGGCCGCTTGATCCGGCCCCGAACCCCCGCACCTCCGCGTTAGCACATTAACCCCCCCGGACGCCCACACAAACTTTTTTTTTTTTAACCCCCAGATAAACTCTCGTCCTCCGGGTAGTTGTATGTCAAGGACCGAGGATGCAGCCCCCGCCGAGAAAGGTGAGTGTTCTCCCGCTGTAGCCTCCGAAGCTAACGGACAACTGCTGCATATTTAACGGCTCGTCCGCTTTGTTGCTGCTCCGCTGGTTCCGACGGTTGGTTTTTTTTTTATTATCCCGCACACATCTACCACCGCGTTCCCCGTGCGGTTGAACTCGCTCCCGCTGTTTCCCCGGAGCCAGAAAACCTGTTGGGGGAAAAAAAAAACTCCCATGTGCCTGAATCTTTTTTCGGGGGAGAAAAGCTCCGTGAACGGTTCCCCCCGGTTCCCCCACGGAACCTGCGGCCAAACTCCAGCGAGTCCTCACAACTTTCTGCGTCTAGAAAGTTCGGAACAATTCTAAAACGCTCCGCACTTTTTTTTACGAACTAACATCCCCGAAGTGTTGCGTTACATCGGCGCACAAAATGCTCCGCGAAGCTTCCCTTGAGTCCCGGTAAATATCACTTCAGTTCCCACTGCTGCTGCTGCCACCCGGAGCTCCGCTTTGTGGAGGTTAAAAAGTTGCGAAAGTGACGCAAGTGAATCACAGTTTTGCGTTTTTCGTCTCCGCCGATTTTGAGAGTGGCGTCACATTTATGTCTCCAACACGAAATAAAGCACATTATCTGTCAGTTAATCACGTTTCCCGCTGCGGTTACAGTAAACCCGCAGATTTCTGCATGAGGTTTGGCGCGTTCGTTTTCTCGCACGATTGGGAAAAGCAAGGAAAAACAGAGGAGATTTCGCAGATTGAACATTTTACAGATGGAGTTAAGAGTTTGAAGCGTTTTATTGAGGAGAAATAAACCCCAGAGCACAGATCTGAGCAGAGTCCTGTCCTGTGTGAAAAAACTCTGTGGGATCATATTTCAATAACATGGCTCAGCAGCACACGAAGTTCACTGTTTCTTCCCCAGGACGTTTTGCAAATGGTTCAATGTTGATTACAATCAAATAAGATATGTTTGATTAATATAAAAACCTTTATGGACTGGGGGGGGGGAGTTTCTTGTGTTGTCCATTAAGTTTGTGGGATGTTTGGATCTTGTGGAGCAGGAGTAGTTTGTTTTACTGTGAAGTTATTCTAAAATTAAATCAGCTCTTTCTTGTGTAGTTGAAACAGACACACACTCTTTGAGCTGAGAGGTGATTCCAGCTGCAGAGACACAGAGGTCATTTATGTCCCTCGGAATCATTTGACATTTACCTGCTTGTGATTGACAAATAGATATTTCAAGTTTGCTGGTGACCTTTTTTAAATTCTGGAAGTGAACGATGAAGCTCAACGTTTACATCTCCATTTCAGCTGCGGTTATCTGGATCATAAATAAAATGAGGATGTATAAATGTTTTACTGTTGACAACACTCCCAGTAACGAGACCCGATCATTGAGCTTCATAATTCTTCTGCCGATTAGAAACTCAGGGAGGTCGACGCTCAGCTGTACAGAGATAATGCTTCAGCTAATTTTCTCTCATACTATTGAATTTTGAAAATAAGATGGAAGATGTATCTCCTGCATGAGCTGTTCACATGAGAGGATGAGTGAAGTGTTGGCTTCAAACATTCAATCATTCAGATCCATTGCTTATTATCCTGTTCCAGTTTTATGTCGTTCTTTACTTAATATGCTGAAATACTTGCAAACACCCATCGTATTTGTTGTAAAGTAGTTTCAAAGCAGATGTGTTACAATTTTTTACTGTAATTCTTGTATTTAGTAAACACTTACTCATCATTTCTTGTAATCTATTAGTCATTTGTTCTGTAAAACATTGGAAAAATATTTCCTCAATCCCAAGAGGATTTTGTGAAATTGTCAAATTTATCCACAAGTCAGAAACCTACAAATCTTCAGCTTACTGGGACAAAAACAAAGTTTGGAACAATTAAATATGTGTTTTTCATTAACATTCAAAGATAATTGAATCAGCGATGTAGTTTGTAATCATTTCTTTTCTGTAAATCAACTGAAGGATTAACGGATTGATCGTTTCCACTGTAATCTTAATAAAACCTATTTCTTTCTGACAAATACTAGCAAGACTGCTCAGTGCTTTAAAGAAATCTGCTGTCACCCAAGGTTGATATCCAACACCAGCGGTTTTAACTGCTTCACATGTGATTGAAAGAGCAAAGAGGGGGAATGTCATAGGAGGTTAAATGTTCTGTATGTTTCTTATTGTTAACCAATATCCATGTAAGTGTTATCTGTGCAGCCAAAGCCTCATCTATCTTATTCGTCTCTGCCATAGAGCTCATGTAGTCGCACCGACATGGAAGCCGAGTATATAACTAATGTTTTGCCCAAATAGCATTTGCTTCCTCTGGGTTTCAAAAATCCTGCTTAAAAATATAAATATAACAGAAAGTCAGTAGCCTCTGAGATTGGATTTAGATTGTAACTTTAATTACATCAGATTTGATGATGTGAGGATTTGATCCCGTACTTTCTTCTTTGGCCTGATGCTGAGCTGTGGGAAATTATAACGGCCATCTTTTAATTGAAATTATTAATTGATGAGTCAAGAAAATAAATAGATCGATCAATAATGAAAATAGGCAGTTAGACAATTAGTTTTATCACAGAAGTCAAAGAAAAGCACTTAATCCTCACATTTCAGGAGAAACAAATATATCTTTGATCCTTTTTCTTAAGAATACTCGAAAATAGTTGGCAATGAATGTTTAAGCTTAATTTCAGCTGAGATGATTTAACTTTAATTTGGCTCATGATTGAAATAAGGAAAGAAAACACGGTTGTCAGTAACGAGACCTGGTCACTGCACTTCATAATTTATCTAACGGCCAATTAGAAACCCTTAGAGGCTGATTCTCACCTGATCAGAGCTGCTGTGTGATAATGAGTGCAGCTCGTTTTCACTAACACCAGTTGTGAGCTCAGCTGAATCAACACTGGCCTCTGGAGTCGTCGGTTTACCTGTGGGGAATTGTTTATCAAACGGCCATGTGGTTTTCAAATGGGAGACATCCCCTCGTTCTCTCTGCTTCAGCTGAAGAAAAGATGTGTTACTCTCAAAATTCATTCTATTAATCCGTGTTTTTCCTGCTTGTCCTTCAGGTCCGGGTCACCCAGGAGCTGAAACACACTCATGCCGAGCAGATGAGCAGATTACAGATCAAACATCAGGCAGAATGTGATCTCCTGGAAGACCTGAGGTGAGCATCTGAGGACAGGCTGTGGACAAGTAGACCAAGTGGATTGAAGATTATTGTATGAACCAGACGATACCTTTTTTTAGACTGGTCCTCTCACAAGTGAAGCTCTTTATATGAGTGAAGTATGAAATAACACCACATGCAGCAGCCTCTAGGTGTTGGCCGAGATGCTTTGGTTTCACGTTCATGAGTTGTCATTTCGTCCATGTTTAAATACAGTCCATGGTTTTGGTTGACAGCACATTGACACCAGCGCCAGCTCTTATCTTCAGAAGCTCTTGAACCTCATTGTCTTGTTTAGTTGAAATCTTCAGCGTCTTGTTTTTGTGTGCTTCCTGTTTTTCAGCCTGAGATTTGTTTCCAGTTTGCATCAGTCGCGTGCTTGCAGGAAAGGTTCCTGAAAAAATGTCTCTTTGTAAGAGAACAGAATAATTTTATTTAGTAGTAGTCATTTTTCTGTGAGTGAGTTTGAGCCCCTCATCATTTGCCCCGATTGTCTCTGCTCCTCTGTCGTATTAAATTTAGGTTTTTAATGTTAAAGCATCTTACAGCAGTTAATTAAAGGGTTAGAGTTGTTTATGCAAACATTCAATTAAAGCCAGACAGTTAGTGTTATACTCCTACCATTGGAGGAAGTTTGCTTTCCCACATACTTGAGTTGATTTATCCGGCATCTCTCCGTGGCCCTTTGATTTTTTTTTTCACGGGTGAATAAATATTTCTTCTTGATCTTGTATCCAAGTCGTCACGATCGTTTGATGGGATGTTCCACCATTTAAAAAATGGCCACTAGCTGCTTAAATCCAAACATGACAGTGTTTAAATTCGAGGAACAGGCTGTGAGTGTTGTCAACAGTAAAACATTTATACATCCTCATTTTATTTATGATCCACATAACCGCAGCTGAAATGGAGATGTAAACAGTGAGCTTCATCGTTCACTTCCAGAATTTAAAAGGTCACCAGCAAAATAAAAATATCTCTTTGTTAATCACAAGTAGGTAAATATCAAATGATTCCAAGGGACATAAATGACCTCTGTGTGAAGATACCTGCAGCTGGAATCACCTCCTGCTTTAACTACACAACACTGTGAACACACTGTGTTCGGATGCATAGGCATTTTTAAGGTTGAAAAGCCAAAGGTTGTGGCTGTGTATTCAGACTTAGTGTTGGGTTAAGTTGACAGCCTTCTGGCTCCCCACTTCCTGTCTGTGGTTGGTGGCAGCTCTGAACCTCCGAACAGCTGGAAGTTAAGGTCATAGAGAGCTGCCAGATGTTCGGACGGCCCTGAGATCACTTTGTCGTGGGAGGCTCAGCAGCGTAACTCTGCCAGACGCTATGTTCAACTTGCCTGGTCACAATACGCCAGGGTCACTCCCCCAATCGAGAAATGAGTCAGCAAACTGGAAATGGCATCTTGTCGTCAGCAGAAGCTCCATTTGGAGAAAATGACAGGAAGTGAGAGGCTGGTGAAACGGGGACATTTGGAAATGTGGAGGAAAGGAAGGGAGTGAAGGAAGAAAGGGAAGCTCCCAGGAAGTACGCCAGATTGTTTCGAGTCAGGGTGGAGTATGGAAGTCATGTCTGAACATGTTTAATGACTTAATGATGATTTGGCTGCAGTCAAGTTTTTTCCCAGGGCACTGACCTCTTTTCTTTTCTTAGTCTTTTGTGTAAATTTAACTTGCAATGTCATTTAGCTCGTTCCTGCTACTGTAAATCAAGCCTGCGACAGTTAAACACCATAATAAAGACAGTATGTTCTGACATGCCTCACATTTCTCAGCACGTTCTATATGTATTTATGTTAGCAGCCAAACATTTTCAGCTATTTTAAAACTCTCTCAGTGGCATTTTTGTTGGTCTGTTGGGATCAAGAAGGGCTTCTTTATAAACTCACAAGCTTTCAGAGGAAAATCCATCATCGACGAGGCAGTAAAAGCAAATCCCTCGGCCACCGCAGCCTCAGCAGAACTAACAAAAATGAGACTAAATGATTTGGTCCTCAGTAAAAACTATTAAACATTAAACATCACAGGCGAAGGGAAATGAAGAAAATATGGAGGATTGGTTTTAATACTCACAATGTTTCCCAGCAATGGTCCCTGTCATTTTAGATTATCACACTGAAGTTTGTTCAAGTGTTCCTGACAAGTTTGGTCTTAATTAGTTATTTCATCATCTCGTCTCGTAACGTCATCATAACTGACAGCTGAGACTGACTCACAGTTGGTCGAGCGTAGATGCGTAGACATTTTTGTTTTAGTCTCGTCCTTTACTTTCATTTGAAGCTGCGCTGTTGTTCATATTGTTCACGTTTTCTTTCTCTTCAGGAGTTTCAGCCAAAAGAGGGCAGCTGTAGAGAGAGACTACGCCCAGGTAAGTGATTCTGAACTCTCTGTGGTGTTTTCACACAGTGTGAATGATGCTTGTTAACATCATCGCTGCGCTGCCTTGTCATTTGTGTTTCTAAAAATACAGTTATTCTTTTTACGATATTGTCCAAAGACGCCATATGACAGAGGGGGTTAGGATGTGGGCCTAAAGAAAACTCTTAGTTCTCTTGTGGTTAGATAACTCATGAATGGGAACCAGCCACAGAGACAAACACCACAACAGAGAGAGAGTGATCCGCTGGCCTGTTTCCTCCTCGCTATGTTGTTTTTACCCACAGCTTCCTGAAGACGTCAATCGGTCGTCTGAAAAGTCTCTGCTCCTCCCGGCCTCTGTTCAGGTTTTGCAGCCGTGTGTGGAATGTCCTCCTCCGGTGTGAGGAGAGGGGGCATATCTGTAGTTATCCAACGAGCAACCTTACATCTGTTTGCACATGTGTATTTGGGCTTTGTTTTTCATGCATGAAGTTATGTTCTCAATTTGACATGAGTCTGGTCTGTTTTGGTTCCTAAAAGCTGGTTTAAATGTGGAGCTGTTGTCAGCATCATTTAGTTATTTAATGCCTTAAGCATTGGGTGACATTGACAGCTGAGACTAACTCACAGGTGGATGAGTGCTACTGTGCAGGCTCCGGCTCTAAAACAAATGATTTAATCAGCGTAAGATGGCAGCGTTCATATCAGGGATGTTTTTGCCTCATTTCTGGATTCTGGAAGGAAGTGGAGAGGGGTCGTCTCTGATCATGACCAAGAGTTTAACATACATGGACTTAGACTAAGATTTAAATGGCTCAACTCTTCAAAAATAAAATGGAAAGAAATGATGATATAATAGTTTTTAACAGAAGTGTTGTTGAAAAATCATCATAATCCGTTAAAACAATTTACAACTAATTGAGTTTGGAATAAGAAACAGAATTCAGACCAGAGGATTTCATCTGTTCAGTTTTACTGAATATTTAGTTTGGTGGAGGTTTGGAAAGTTGAGCCAGGGTTGACGACGGAGCGGAGCAGGCAGAGGAAGCAAGAGCATCGGCTTGGCAGGAAAACAGACGAGGTGCTGGATGAGGCAGGCGGACAAGTTTAAATGATGTTCAGGAAGGTACGAAAGAAAAACAAACCACAACTTGAGTTATGCTGTAGTGTTACTGCTACTTTGGCAAACGGGATGATCACACAGAGACCGGAGTGTAGAGTCAGGGGCAGGTGTTCTGGTGAATTGGCAGCAGGAGGGGAATGATCGTCCAGATACACATTCACACTATTTAAAATTGAATGAACAACACACATGCCGAGTGTGAGGCAGAAAAGATGAACAGTTCTCAAGATATACATCCCACACACGGAGAGAGAGATTTCTGGAGTTGTTAGATGTCATTGCTAGTCTTCTTTAATGAAACACACAGGACGTCAATCGTTCATCTTAAATTTATTCAAAATCTTAATAGATTAAAAAGCTTTAACTTCATTAGGAGAAGCTAAGCATAAACACTGACTGACTCCTGCTGTTGAAATTTCCAATACCTATTTGTAGATTATTTATGACGCCTGGCCTGCTCCATATAATCGTGTCACCTTGCATCAAAGATTTACATCGTGTCAGAAGGACGGAGAAGCAGACGAGCGACACTAAACTCTGCACACAGGAGAACCCGTCCAAGCAATCTTATCATTGATCCAGCAGAATAATGCATCTGTAATTATTCCCATCAGTCGTTTTTTTGCGAACACTCCCTTGTAGACTAACTCCTGATTGGCCACATGTGTCCGGCAGCTGTATCATCACTGTAGCTCTCAGCTGATTTATAAGCAGACAAGGAAGAGAATTAACAACGGAGAGACTTTTGAAATAGTATGAAAGTGTAATTGTTGCTTTGGGAGAGTGTAAATGGCAGTTTCCTCAATTTCTGACAGTTGATTCATGAGAAAATAATTAATAATAAAAATAATTGTTTGTTGCAGCACTTAAATGAAAGGAAATTGTCTTGGCTCCAGGTCTTATTAGTTTGAAAGGTGTTGTGTGTTGTGCTGGCTGCTAGTTACAGGATCAATTAGACACTCGCTGCCTCTGCTCCTCCGTGGATCTCCTATGCTCCATAGCCAGGGAAAGATTACAAAGGCCACGTAGTATTTTTATCTTATTTCCTAATCAAAGTACTAATCAGCATTTATTCATGCTGTCTGCATTGCCCTTGTTAATCAGTATTTACTCTTAAATAAATTCTAAATTTGCATTTAAATTCAAGTTGTGGACATTCACTTTGTATAATCTTCGAAGACTGTCAAACTAATGTGTGTATAATCAATGTTAATGGTTCTTAAAGGTAACTAAGGCCAAATTATTATTAAAACAGGTCCTTGGGACCTCAAGGTTTCTAAACCGAGTTCCTGGCAATTCACCTGGAGCTCAGATCTGTAAGAGGAGAGCTGCCGTTAACAAGTGTGACTGAAGTATTAAACTCAGTTAGATATTATATAAGTGGAAGCAGGATAAACATTTGGATGTAGGCGAGTCTCCTCATTAACAGCTTAATTAGTCATAAAAACCTTATTGGACTAATCTTCCATAGGGCTATAGACAGAGAGCTGCACCAGCCACCCCTGTACTGGGGCAATACTGGGATCTAACAGCTGCCAATGGGTGAATCAAAGTGGGTCAGACTGTCTCTGGAACACTTCGTTCCCTTTCGTAACAGCCCCCTCCTCTTCCTTTTTTTGAACGTCTCTTCTCTTTACGCGCCTTTTTTCTGGGTCTCTTACACCTGCAAGCTGCTTCAGCCATTAGCCGATTGCTATTCAAATCACACAGTGTGATAAAATGTCCTCCTCTGTGCCGCTCTTCCTCTGCCGACCTCGCATCCCTCCTCCACCTCCCCTTGTCCCCGTCTCACTATTCAGGCGCGTCCGCTATGCTAGCTCAGTTTGGCGATCGCCTCCCTCTCCAAGCTCCACAATGGCCGGGTTTGTAGCAGCTTTGAAGCTCTGGCACCAAGATCACCACGACCAACGAGTTCAGCTGAACAGGGTTGTCTTTTCACTGTGGACAGAGGAAGGATAGATGGAGGATAGTCCTTGTTGGGGCATGTCGAACTAATCAGTTGAATGGGGGGGGGCAAACGGTATAAATAATATGTGGGGTGTTTTTATTGAATTAAATTATTAACATGAGATGGACCTTATATCTTATACCTGCAACGACAAGTGAACTGAAACTTTTCCTACATGTTTCATCTTTCTGAAATGGACTTAAAGAGGCATCTGCTTTTGTTTTTTATTACGACCCCGACCCAAGTCTGATGCAGTTAATGAGCTGCACACACATGGTTATTGCTTCCTATCAGGATCTCCAATAACCCAAACCCAGGCTGCTTATCCTCGGACAGTGGGAGGAAGCAGGGGTACGCAGACAAAACCCAAGCTGACATGATGAGAAGATGCAAACTTCACACACATGGTACACAACTTCAAGTTGAGCAGAAGAGTGAGGCAGCCCACAGTGAAACCACACAGATCTCAGTTAACACTGTACTGACACTAAGCCAACACACGTCACATCTTCAAATGTCCGGTTTAATCTGTAACACCGGTGTTGTCACAAGTTTATTACCCGGTGGTAATATTTCCACTCACTGTTGTATCCCTCGCTCCTGTCTCACTAAGCACAGCAGCTTCACTGTTTTGTGTGGGGGAGGGGCTTCCTTTGACTTTAGGCTTTTTAATGTTGCGGAATTTTTACATTCATAAAAACATTCATGTAACACACTAGAGGAAAGAAACCCTGAATCCTTTAAATTAAGCCAGTTAGTTGTTGTAAAGTCTCGTAACCTAGCAACAAATATATTTATATCGGCCCAATTTAGATCACCTGCACATCACTAAAAATACTTTCACCATAAGTACATTTCTTTGACAACTTGCACCCAGAAACACCAGACATATCATCCTTTTCTTGTTCCCCTGCTATTTGCTCTGTCTATTTCGATTCTTCAAAGCTTAGCCTCACTGCTGGCTGAGGTGGAGCAACCTAATATATCTCCCAGGGTGAATGTGGTAGAAGTGAATTACATTTTTCTTCCAAAAAAGAGTCGACATCAGCATAAAACTCAGCGAGCGAGCAAACCTCTAAACTAAGCTGTGGCTTACAGGTGAACGAGGCCATGCAGGATGGAATCGCTTTGAGAGGCTAATTGACTGAAGAAAGAAAATGCAATTTAATGTGGTTTTTAAATTAGTTCGGTGTGTTGGATCGGGAACCTTTGTTTTTTCTTCCCTGTGTTTGGGGGAAAGAATAAAATGTGCCTCCTCATGCTTCTGTCTCCATGATCCTGCCGCCCGGTGGTTTATATGACAAGGTCACCGGGGGTCACAGTCGTTTTGAGCACGTCCTTTTGTGAAGATGAGACACAGGAAATGTGTGTTGGTGTCAAAGGTGAAAGGTCGTCACCGCTAAGGTCCGTTTCCTCTTCTCTTCCAGGCACTGCAGAAATTGGCAAATCAGTATCTGAAGAGGGAATGGCCCGACAGCCTGACAGGAGAACAAGATGACAACAGGTAAAGTCAACAAAGAGAGTGGCTGGAGATTCACGACATATCCCTCAAATCAAATATGAATTGTATTTACAGTTGGAACAATAGGTTCAGAAGAAGGAAAACTATAATATTTTATCTTCAGGGTTTGGACTGTTGTTCAGCCAAAAATAGAAAATAAAGTGTCTCTGAATTTTAAGAAATAAAACTATTGCAGAGCATGATGGAGCTGTATGAAAGAACCTGTGTGTTTCTGTTTGGTTTAGGAACATGTATTGTGTATGGAGGGCATATTTGGAGGGCACCGTCCAGGTCACCCAGTCCAGAATCAGTACCTGTGACAACTACAAAGTCGTGGTTGCCGATCCGGCCAAGACAGCCCGACTGCAGAAGGAGCAGCAGCTGAGGAAGGTAATGAAGGTCAATCTTAGGACTCCGCTCAGGTTTCAGTTGCACTGTTTCCTCTTCATTCACACAAACACGTGCACAGCTCCACTACACTTTCATCGAGAGAGAAGTTGGTCTGAATCTAATGTGGACAAGACAGTTTCTGAAACATGATTCTGTTTTGAACATTTTGATTAAGGTCCCTTGAAATTCTTAAAACATTTGCAACTTTTCACAACTCTTACCGACCCCTGGCATCAGATGCTTTGTGGAGGACAGATGTCCCAGAGCTGAGCGTTTGATTGGGACAAAGTTTGGGTTAACATATGCTGCCTCAAAACATTCTTTACTAACATTTCTGTACTTCAGATAATTTCATTTATCAGTTGACTTATGTGCTAATACCAATATATCAGCCTGGCCTAATAATCCATCAGCCTCTGAACTGCACTTGTGTAACTCAGTGACTTGTTTGCAGTTCATGTATTACCTGTTTATCAGCTGCTGTCTCAAGCACTGATAGAATATATTATGATCCTGACATTGTCTGACAATATCAACCTGAATGCAGGTTGAGGACGACACTCTGACCCTGAGTTTTAGAAACACTAGAAAAACAAATCGTCTGCTAAAACGTCTGAATGAGCTTAATGACACAAAAATTCCAAATAATTGATTTTCAACATGACCCGATGACACTGGAACTGAAACAGAGTTGTTAACGGAGCAGCCGGAACATGGCGTTACACTTTCTAATGAAAGCCATAATGATCATTATCTGTTGTTGAGTCAGCAGCAGCAGACACATCCACGTTCCTTGTCCTCCGTTCGGTGTCACGTCCAGTGGCACCTTCCTGTGTGTACTTCTGATAAACAGCAATAAACAATATGCCAGTTACGGGCAGAAGTCCCAGCAGTTGTTCACGTCATTAATGATCAGCCCACTATGTGTAATTCTGAACACTGCGTGCGGAGGTGAAGTTCTCTGATCATGAGGTCTGAGGCCACCTCGACCCAGCGCTGCTCTCTGTTTTCTGCTGGACACGTTCCGCTGCCTTCAGCCCACAATGCTGCTCTTGTTCCCCCTCACATTTCAGGAAATGCCGTTATGGATCCTGTAAAACACAGGGCATTATGTCATGACATGTGCCACATGCTGGAGATATGATCAACAGCCTTTTGCATATTTGCATTATAGAAATTTTTATTTGCATGCAGGTAAATCTGTTTTTGTCCTCTGTCTCCAATTTTCCCTCCTCAGTGTATTGAACAGCTGACGGTGGTCCAAGCGGAGCTGCAGGATTCCGTGAAAGAGCTGACGAAGAGCAGGAAGAAATACCAGGAGGCCGAGACGATGGCGCAGGCTGTGAGGGAGAAGGCAGAGCTGGACGCCAAGTACGACCCAAATTACTCTTCTATGTTACAGTGTGGGGGTGTTATTCAAACGTGTGCAAGCAAAACAATCCAATAACATCCTGACTGTTGCTGCTGGTCTGAAAGAGTTTTCTTCTCTCCCTCTCATTCTCGACACTTTGTCCTGGCACAACGTGAACAGCTGGCACTTTGACTCACCACATTGCAGACATTTTTCTGCCCTTCAGGAAAGTTTATTATAGAGCCCAGGCACAGTACGGTGATGTTTTCTCCTGGAAAGGTTTAGTAGCTGGTTTGGCACTTCTCTTCTGAAACTACAAATACTACTCAGTGGATTGGCTGGCTTGTTGTGTTCACACATGCACAGATGTGATCGTCTAAATCTAGTAAATGTCTGTAGAATTAAACACTGCTGTCTGTCATTAATGTGCAAGGCGGTTAAATCTGATATAAGCATACAAATATGCATAAATGTTTAAAAAATATGTGCATAGAACACTACCAACACTACCTGGTTATGTGCTGCAAGCTGTAAGTGCACTCACGTCTATAAAAGCATCTTTATTACACTTATGTGACCAGGTTACTCAGAGGAACCAGGTTACTTTCATTCACTGTAGTAACCTAGTTGCTGAAAGTCTGTGTTGACATGCAGCAGGTCAGCAATCAGACTTTTGTGAACTATTTAGTTTTGGAAGCTTGTTCTTCATATTTTAACTGTAGTTGTGATAGACGCCGCTTTTGGTTTTTGTTTTCCTTCACTTGTCTGTGAGATGAAGACTGAGAGAGTTTAACATACAGTCGTTTGTTCAGCAGTGGAAGCAGACGTCACGTATGTAGACGTCCAGAAGCTGTTTTCTGTTGGTGTCAGTGTGACTGTATCTTTGGATGGAGTTATTTTAGAAGTGAGAAGGTATCACTCCACGTGCTGATCTCCCTTTTCATCCAGCTGCTCCGATACTGTTCCTGTGTAAAGTCTGTGTCCTTCATATGTATACTTATAAAAACACAATTAACTCAGTGGGTTACAGATACACCAAGAAATCTGAGATGAGGATTTTCCCTAAATCTGCATGTTCTAACAGTATCGAACATATTTAATCTCACGTCTTTATATACACGAGACTAAAAACTGTTTTGATCAGAAAGTTATGTTCAGTTCACTATTTAGTTGCAACAAGAAAAGCAACAGATTTTAACACACGTGTCCATGATTTCAAAAATGACTGAAACAATCAATCATCAAAATAGCTTCTGGTTAAAGCGAGGGTTGTCTCCCTGTTGTCCCCACGTGCAACCTATTATATTTATAATATTTAGATGGATTAATGGAGTTAAATAGGAAAAACTGGAACAGAAATAAAACCAAGTTAGAGCAGGAAAACATTCTGCTGCTCATGGATTTCTGATCCTCAGACATCCAGGATCTATTCAACCAAAAAACTTTTAACTTCTTCTTGAATCACTTACATTGAGCACAGAAATGACAGAAACCATTTTTTTCCTGGTTTTAATGATGTTGGAGGAACTTAAATCAAATCCCATGTAAACCCACTGCTTTTTGTTGCCTCTTACTTGTCATTTTGTTTGGTGTTCATCTTTTTTTTGCCATGGCTAGTTTAGTGTCTTTTCAACAGTTTATGTTACTTTAAGCTGTCTCCTCTTCTGTCTCCTCATCTGTCTCCTCATCTGTCTCCTCATCTGTCTCCTCATCTGTCTCCTCTTCTGTCTCCTCTTCTGTCTCCTCTTCTGTTCAGGTCAAAGTTAAGTCTTTTCCAGTCCAGGTCCAGTCTGCAGAGAGCGAGCGTGAAGGTATGAGATCTTTGCATCCAAAAATCTGCTCCACATTTTGGTGCAGCGGTCAGACAACTTTGTGAACTTATGTGTTCCAGCTCAAAGCCAAGAGGAGTGAATGCAACTCCAAAGCCACCCATGCCAGAAACGACTACCTTCTCACTCTAGCAGCCGCTAATGCTCACCAGCAGCGCTACTACGACACAGACCTCATGGACTGCATCAAGGTGAGGCCAGGCTCTCAGAGTGAGCTGGTGGAGGATGGAACAAAGATGTGTACTTGTAAACCTTGAACATGTTTGTTTCTGCAGGTGTTAGATGGCAGAATTTATGAGCAGGTAAAAGATTACCTGGTGTCACTGTGTCAGACGGAGCTGGAAACTTACCAGGCGGTCCACAACACCTTCAACCAGATCTTGAGCAGCTCAAATGGGGTAAGTCCTTAAATCCACTGCTCAACAACTACTTTAAGTGTTGAACTGGAACAACAGAACATCCCCAAGATTGGATATTATGTGTAGGCAGTAGTTACTTGGTGTAAGTGTTTAAGTAAAATGTCTACTTTGTTGAAATCAGTTTATTTATAATGTGCACAAAGAGGTCATCGTCTCTCAGTGACTCACATGTCTCGAGAACTCTTCATCTTATCAGCTTCACACTTGCTCTGTATAGCAGAAGCTGGGACTCATCACTGTTAGCGACATTGTCAATCACAACAATGGCAAGGATGACTGATTCTCCAGTTCGGAGTTTTGCGTACAGAGTCGAGCTTCATGGAACTTTGAATAAACGGGTGAGCAGCTCTCCGTGCAGCAGAGCTGAGCAAATCTTCTCCTTTATTCATTCGGTCGTTGTTCCGATGCACTCAAATAACATTTTCAGATTTTTACTCACTCAAGCAACAAAATGTTGGGAGTGTTGGAAAGAATCAGCATCTGATCAGGTTCATTCAAGCTGATGTCCATATAAAGATAGATACTGATCCAACAACGGGTTCAGTGGTATCACTCAGTGTCTTTGTAAATATCTGAGGAGCCGGACTCCTCTGCCTCACCGACTGCTAATTAATTGAATTGGTTTGAGTTACCCAGGCACTCCTCAGTTACACGCTCTCGAGTCGCCGGCCTCTGTCGCTCTGTTCTGTTCAGGTTGTCTCATCGGAGAGAGAGAGAAAGAGGGAGAGAGAGAAAGAGGGAAGCAGTGGTTTTCAGCAGAGCTCACATTTCAGCCTCTGTGCTTCCTGTGTCAACACCAACCCCTGAATATGACCTGAAGTTTGCTTTGTGTAATGAGACATTTTGATTAGTACCCAACATGAAATGTTCAAAACCTTTTAATACGTCGTGTTTAATCAGTTTCAGAATCGATCTCACCTGACCACATGCAACAATCTGAATACGCTCCTCATCTGGTACCACTGGTCTAATGGGAACGTAATAGCTCTCCTATGTTTTCCAGGCAATGAATACAAACTCTCTGATGATGTCGATAATGTTTTACTTTAATTATATTGGTGTCATCATGCACTTATCACTTCCACAGAACTTGTTGCTCTGTGTAGTTTAATGTTTGTCAGTCTTTACGGGCAGTAACGTCCAGTGACGCCGCAGCAGTTTGAGTTTTCTTGTTTTCACTGGGCAACTGATTGGGTGGTTGCATTTATGAATATTTCAGTCTTTGTCTTGTGTCTGGACAGATTCTGAATAGAAAGCAAACAATCTGACAGTTACCGTTATTTTATATGTATATATCAAATATAATAATGCCACTGATAAGTGACAACAGAATCCATGTTAGTCTTGGATAAGATACACATGAATAAGGATAAATACTATAAAGACATCAAATAAGGAACTGATAACAGAAATGATAAGTGTAAGTGAAGTTCTGCTGTTTAGTTCTTTTCATGCAGGATGTTTATTATGAATATTTATCCTATGTTCCTCTTTATCTGAAGAACCTTTGAACACACTGTCACTGACATGGTTTCATATAAACTCACAGATGAGGAGTTACTACAGGATTAAAGATTATTAGAAGTAAGACAAAATGTGGATAAGTCACTAGACAAGAAGTCAACATCATTAGAGTAGTCTGAAATAAAAAACCTAAGTGTGTTCTTTATTTTTTCCTTTAAAACACTCACGTGTAGGTTGTACAGGAGTTTCACCAGCAGCTGTTTACACAGAAGAACCCGATGTTTCAACAAGCTCCAGACTTCTTGTACCAGCCCATCGACTCAGACACAGTAAGTTCGAAAGCTCTATTTTTATTATTCACACTAAATACGACGGCATCCACAGAAATCGAATCGCAGCCAATTCTGATCGCACAACTTCACCGAGTTATCAAAATAAAACTCTCACATTTGAGATTATTTTGGGAAATGTTGGAAACATTTTATGAACTGCCCCAAAAACCCTGTTTTTAATTAGTAGTTGTCTTTGACTGATGTTTAACTTTTAATGATATTTAACTGTTAAACTCATTATCAATGGACATATGTAAAATATAATGAGGATTTCCTATGAAAACTGATCTTGACTCACACGTCTCTGTTCACACACACTTGTGATTCTTGTAATTGAGTCTTTCAAACCTGATGAATATTTACAGGAGTTTTTGTATAAATATCCATTTACTGTGTTTTAGCCTTTTTAATGTTAAAGTCCCAGACACCATTAAATAAGCTGCATCAGAGGAACATAAGTAATGACCTCATTCACAGGACGCTGTACCAGTTTAAACAAACTGTATCTGCTTCTATTTGAATCTTTATCGTAATCATAGTAAATTTCTGAGTACACAGTCAGACCATATTCAGACTGATGTTGGCATTACATGACGAAGTGCAGCCGCCAACATTTCCATGAGACCAGTGGAAGTCCTCAGTGAAATATCATCCATCCAGATAAAATAGTTTTATTTCCAGAGTAGCAAAATTGAAAGAGCTGTTACTTAAACTGTATTTACATATTGAGATATTTTTCAGCAGTACTTGAATTAAAGCAGCCCCTCGTGTGTCTTGTTTGTAATTTAGCCTCAACCTCTGTGGTCGTTTAATCTGCTCTCGTTTTGTGTGTGACATTTGCATCACGCAACAACCTATGCAGCTATTCCCAGCTGAGTCATGTGCTTAATATAAGTTCATTCTGACCTGCTCTGCACTTCTACACCTGTTCACCTTCTCATGGAATAAAATCTGTTTCTGACAGTTTTCCACCCATGCTGGTCACTTATTGTATATTTTGCCCTAAATCTAATGTTAAATATCTGCACAAGCTTGAGTCTAAGAACGTTTTATTATCTGTGTTTAAGACGCCCTCGGTGTGCAAGTCTGCCAGTGATTTATTGACTGCTGCTGCACACAGATGTAATGTAGTCGATGACACACACACACGTCTTTTCGAGTTGCACCAACTCTACAGATCCTTTTCTCCTCTGCACTGGTTCCTCCGCTTCACTGGACAACACTGGACAATTTGTTCAAACTGCAAACGCTGGCGTTGTTTTCATTGGAAGTCAAACAAGCAGCAGCCTGTTCCTAAAGAAAACATTAGCGGTGGAGAGCCTAGCCTGCCTCTCCCCCTTCGTCACTCCCTCCCTCCCCTCCATACCTCTTGCACCAGACAGAGGGATCCGGTAAGGAATAGAGCTGAACTGGGAGGGAGGGGCAGGAGGTAGGCCGGGCCTGTGAACGGCCCATCTGTGAAAAGGAGGCATTGTGAGTGGGCCTCATCAGAGTGCACTGACCTCCCCACCCCAACCCTTTCCACACACACACACACACACACACACACACACACACACACACACACACACACACACACACACTCCTGTTTTCATGTGGAAACATTTAAATTTTAGGGATGTGTTTAATCTCATTTGTAGTGATGAACCTGAGTCTGGAGGAACTATCTGCTCTGCAGAGGTTTACTTTGAGTTGAACTCAGTTTTGTTGTCCTGGTTCTTTTCACCATTGTTGTCAGAAGCGGCTGTTGTTGTTGATAAAGGTTTAAAACCCTCTGCACACCAGCTGACCTGCTCCAAACAGCAGACAGACGCAGTCAGAGAGAAGGTGGTGAACACGCTGAAGCTTTTATCATCGGAAGAGATTGATGTTTCCCCCGAGAGTTGGAAGAGACCAAACACTGAGCTCAAAGAGACGGAATATTAGCCTCACGTTTACCAGACGCCCAAGAACCTGACTGTTCTGTTGAGAATGTTCCTCCATCACTGCTGAACTTTTACATGAGAATCTTTTTGCTAACAAGTCCATCATATCAACGTAAAGGTGAAGATATGCTAGTGTTGTGTTCGCTGTGTTTCCACTGCCCCCAGGACGCCCAAAAATCTGTCACTGCAGTAAACACTAATTCAAAATATATGTCCAGTCTAAAAGGACGGTGATGTTCCTTTTGTTAATCTTGCCTTCAAAGCTCTGATTGGCTCGATTAACGTCCCACAGAGAAAAACATGTCAGTGAACACAACATCAGATCATAGAAAGAAACTCTTTAATGTCTTTTGGTGGATTTAACAAGAAACGACAACAGAACAACATTAAAGCTACTTCAAATAGTGTCGCAGCGTTTTTCCAATCATTGTTTGGGTTCTTTTATTGATTTGGTTCTGCTAACCTCATCAACAGTTTCTTTCCACAGATAAATCCATTTTATTTTAGACATTTAGTGCCAAACGTCTGGCAGGCAACATTAGAGCGCAGCTGGTGAACGATATCAGAGAATGAATCAGCTCAGGAGCCAGATATCTCCCTCAGGAGTTGGTGGAGAACAAAACAGAGCGAAAAAGAGTCAAACTGTTGGTGTGAGTTTGTTTGTTCAACGTAAAACAACTTAATACATTTTGCAGGGTTAAAGATTTGTATTTTACTACCTGAAGCAGTTTGTCCTGCTGAGAAATGAACCATGTAGAGATTCAGGGACTGAGTGAAGCTGTTTGCTTCAGTGTGTCTCAGTGTAAACAGACGTTTCTCTGTCCCTTTCACATCATTGACCTGGTGTTTTATTATTGGACTTCAGGGTTTTCGTAAATGTAAAAGATTATTATATTTTCGATTTCTTCAGTGAGACAAACACTCTATTCAAGCTCCAGTCCTGTGGGTGTCGGCCTTTACAACACACTTTTGAAACTTGGCCCATGTAATATGTAAAGAGGAAGTTGCTACATTGGCGTACCAGCAATGGTAAATATAACTCACACTGGTGGCATTTAGGAAACCACAAGGGCCTTTTAAAGGTTTTCTGGTGGGTCACGGCATTAAATAAAAATGCATTTAGCAATATTTCATTAAGGTTATAGTTGTCTCAGACGGGATTACTTGTTTTTGTGTGAACTCATTTACATCATAGAGTATTTTTACTGTGAAAAACCACCTTTTTTTCAGAGAAATATTTTTCTTTGGATCTTTGGATTTTGCTCAAAAAACAAAGAGATGAGGAAATCTTTTCCTCTTACGATGCTGGAGTTGTTGTTGTATCTCTGTTGTCTTGGTCAAGAATCGTTATGGTTCATTAGTTACCTCCTGTATCTGATCTCTTTCACTGACTTGTTTCTTTCTCTTTCCGTGTTTGCAGGTGATGCAGCTACAGAAAGAGAGCGGGACGGCGGAGGAGCACGGCCTGGATAAGGAGGCGAGGAAGTGGGCGAGCCGTGTGGCCCGAGAGTACAAGAGCATCATCCACACACAGCGGGTGAGAGCAGGCTACCTTAGTTTATTTTTTATTCATTGGTGTATTTAAAAGGGTCCTTAAAATCCATAGCTGTAAATGATTAGAGCAATGATTGAAAGAGCATTAATGATACTAGATATAAGCGGACATACACTTGTGTAGTAATTAGAAGAAAGGAATCAGATAAAAACCAAAAATTCAAATCAATAAAATGGGAAATATCACTGTTAATAGAAATACACTGTAAATAACAACATTGTGCTGCATCATTAGACGGGTCTGGAACAGACGTCACAGTCGCCCTGACCTCACTGAAGAAAACATGCAGCCTGAAATATCTCTAATCCAAACTTCTGCAGGGGGAGGAGGAGAACTTTTACAAATGAAAAATAGAAAGACTCGTAGCTGCCTGTGCTCCCTGTCCCAAAATCCGACGCCTCGAAGCCACAAAGCGTCTTTTTGTTTCTGAACAATCACAAATCAAATCAGTCAACAAAGGCAAATGGTGCAAAGCTGTGAAGAAAAGAAAGTAACCAGCTGTGTTGACCTTGATTCCACAAGCAAACAGTCAGTCATAAATGAGTTCATCGTTTATTAAACGTCATCATATTTCCCCTGAAACAACAAACAAGGAACAGAAGGGAAGTTGTGGCAACAGAAACGATGATGGTGGAAACAATATTTTATTCCTTAATCCCATTAATTAAATTAACAAATATATTTTTATATATATTTAATATCAAAACCTTTTTAACCCCTCAAATGTAGAAATGTGTTTGAGACATGATGTGTTGTATTATTACTGTGAACTGTTCAACTACGTGTTAATGACTAACAGGTCTCTTTTGTCACTGAACTGGAATTTGTCCTTTTACCGTAAAGCAGCGAGGTCGTTCAGTGTGATGATCATAAAAATCATTTAGCACGTGGAGACGATGCAGCTAAGAGTTCATCATCTACACCACATCACATAAAATCTTCCTCGGTGAAGGAAAACGACAACACAGCTTTATAAAGTTCCTCTTTACCAGAACATCAAATTAGAAACATGTTTTCAATGCACCAGGATCAAACGTTTGTGTTTCCAGAAACAAGGAAATGACTCAAACTCCATCAGAGTCTTTTGTGTTTGGACGGTTTCCATCCAGTGCTCTTTTTCTTCTTCTACATTGTTTGATGATGGTTTTAATTGTTAACTGTCGTCACTGGGAGGTCGTCGTTTTTCACGCCGTGGTTTGTTCTCAGGCTCTGGAGGAATATGGGACGCAGGAGTCGTCGGAGCAGAACAACAGTGATCTGGAAACAAAGCTGGAGGTGGCCAGACAGAGTCTTCGGAGGGCAGAGGTAGCGTGTGTGTGTGTGTTTGTTGTGTGTGTGTGTTGTGTGTGTGTGTTATGTGTGTGTGTGTGTGTGTGTGTGTTATGAAGTAAGAGGTCGATTGCTCTGTCTTATTGGTGAAGTTTGCCCCAGGGCTCCACCTAGTGTTTAAAAAGATGAAATGAAACGTGAGGGTCAAATAATCCCGGCAGTCGTTCCGTGAAGAGCTGCGAGGACGAGCTGATTAATTAATGAGAAGAAGAATCTGCTGGTACTTTAATGTATTTGTACATTTTTAATTAGATTAATTTGGGCTGAACTGAATCTGAAGGGTTTCAGTCCAGACTGAATTATAAGAACCTTTGTGGAGAGTTGACCTGAGGAAGAACTCAACTACTTTAACTTTCTTTTAAATTGGGATTTGTGGTGAGAATTTATGGATCTTGATGTAAAACAAGTTGAGAGCACTGATGTTTCCGAGTGTGTGCAATGTGCTGCAGATCCAAATGAAGATCTAGTGAATTGAAATGTAGTTTCTTAAGGAGACTGCTCCGAGGTATGAGCTCTACTAAAATAAAATAAACTGAGCTTGAGTTACACTCTTAACAAACACTGCTATTGTTTTATAAGACCTGTGTGACACCAGAAGGATAATTCAGTGCACATGAGGCAGTTAGGAAATCAGACTCAGTCGACTCACTCACGCTGCGTATATCTGTGTTTTTATGTTTGTCCCTTAGAAACCACCCGAGTCTGTGTGTCTCAGTAACGTTCACTGTGTTGTCAGGTTTAATGGCTTGTCTTGATATCTTGCAGACGGTGAAGGTGAAAGCAGAGGCTCGTCTGGACCTCCTGCGACAGGCGGGGGTCGCTGTTGAAACGTGGCTGAAGAGCGCGATGAACCAGGTCATGGAGGAGCTGGAGAACGAACGCTGGAACAACCTCAATACCCATGATCCTTCACTCTCTGTAAGACCCACAAAACCCCTAATCTATGGATGCTTCATGTAATCTGTTTTAACTGCAGCATTATACTCACTCCGATATTGTTCCAATCAAGTGAAGCTCGTTTGAGTCAGATGTGTCGTTCCTGCGTCAGATGGAGTCATGTCTGTTTTATCTTTGCAGGGGACGGCAGATTTGGAGCCAGAGGACGAGGAGGAGATGGAGGACAGTGGTGAAGTGTTGGACGACAGCAGCTCCAGTCCGTCCAGCACCTTGAAAAACTATCCCCTCACCTGCAAAGTGCTCTACTCCTACAAGGTACCAGCAACATGTGATCTCTTCTCACCTGCCTTGTTTTGTTTCCTCTTTTCAAATGTTGGAGCTTTGCAGGTTGACAAATCAGTTCCTGCTTTTTTACCTTGTTTTCGTCCCGATGTTTGTTTTCAGGCGTCTCAGCCTGATGAACTGACCATTGAAGAGCAGGAGATCTTGGAGGTCATTGATGACGGAGATATGGAGGACTGGGTCAAAGTACGATACACCTCCACAAGTCTCACCGGCTTAATTTATTATGGATCATTGATTTCATCATTATAATTTATTTTCCTGTGTTTCCAGGCCAGAAACCGCAGCGGACAGGTCGGCTACGTCCCAGAGAAATACTTACAGCTTCCTTCCTCTAACAGCCTGCTGAGTATGCTGCAGTCTCTGGCTGCGCTGGACGCCAGGTCCCACTCCTCCAGTAACTCCACCGAACCTGAAACCGAACTACCGACCGGCTCCGTCAACGGAGACTCCAGCGGTGAGTGACACTTCTGCTAAATGCTTGTATGTAATCTGCACACAGTTGCATGTCCAGTACTTCCTGTCTGTCGATGTTGGAGTGTCTGAATCTTCACTCTTTGTTACAGTGTCATTTGCGAAGGCCTTGTACGACTACGCGGGACAAACGGACGATGAGCTGTCATTTCCGGAAGGCGCCATCATCCGCATCCTGAGCAGAGAGACCCACGAGGATGACGGTTTCTGGGAGGGAGAGTTTAACGGCGTTGTCGGCGTCTTCCCGGCCGTTCTGGTGGAGGATCTCGCCGGCGCCGGTGAGAATGGAGATGGACAAAAAGACGGCAGTGCACAGGTATGCTGACGTTAGAAGCTGGGGTGTGTGCAGTAGAACAGTATACGCTAACGTTCTCACGCGTTTATATTTTCTGTCTGGCGTGTTTCAGGCCTCCCCCTCCACTCTACCGCTGTGCGACCGATCCCCTCGTAGTCCCTTCCAGCCGGGGCCCCTCCACAGCAGTCCCCTCCAGACGCCCACCATGTCCTCCCCTCTTGCCAGCCCCTGCAGCGCTACCGCTTCTCCCATTGGCCGACCCCCCGCCTATCACAACGGACATCACAGGCCGCCACCGGCGCCACACAAAAGCCCCTTTCAAAGTAAGGGCCCTTTATTAATTCAGTGTATAATTAAGACCCTCTGATTAGTGTGTAATGAAGAAAACAGCTGGTAACTCAGCGGAACTGTTGGTGATGATGATCTGTGTCCTCGTCAGGTCCAGCAACAAGTTCACCACAACCTCCCAAATACCCAGAGAGCGGATCGGGCACCATCCGACCCGTGAGTACACCAGTGTTCCTTTAATCAGCTTGATTTGGATTTAGTCTCAAATCTGACAGCGACAACACGTTGCTGCAGTGACTCTTTGAAAATGTCTGTGTGGGCGCAGCGGTTTCTTTGGCCTGTGGTGATGATGGTGGCAGTTTTCTTTCTGAATCCCTAAAATCGACCTGCAGTAATTGAGCCGTGGCAAAAGTTGATGTAAGATAAATGTTGATGTGAGTCATGAACAGACAGACACAGATCTCTGCACAAATCAGAAGATAATCTGGTAAAAATATTTTATTTTTGATCATTTCAGTCAAACCTCAAGAGCTTTGAAACGAGAATCATCCAACGGATGTTTGGATAAAAGACAGAAAATCAGTTTGTTTGATCTGTGTTCGTATTTGACTGGAGGTCTGAAGAGACAATGTCTACATGTCAACATCTGGAACCAGAACAGACAGTGAAGTCTGAAACAATGCAGCAACATCAGGAAACCCACTGAATGAACATCTGCATAAACTGTCACGCTAACATATCAAACAGTTGTTGTATTGTTTCAGTCCGGTTGTGGTGAACCAGCCGAGCGACACGTCCAGAAACACTCTTCTATAGATCTGTGCTCGTCTCTGTTGTAGATCATGTTAAATGATCATGTTATTAAAAGTAAAGTGTGTGAATACACGGTGTTGATGCCAACGACAATAACAATCGTTTTCGCTGTGTTTAACTGAACGATGATTGATGGATGTGTCCAGGTTCGTGCGGCTCCTCCCCCCCCGAAGCAGCATCCTCGTGGGCAGGTGAAGCGGAGGGAGGACGTGGAGATCACGCTGGTGTGAGGACGTCACCCTGGTGGTGGCGGCGGCAGTGACGGCTCTGTTGAGACAAGGGATTGGCGGCTCTGTGCCTCTAAACACACTCCCAAAGGAAACTTATTCCTTCTCTGAAGACGCCCCCTGTAGGCGGGGAGAGGCCCTCCACTCTGTCCTCACTGGGTCAGTTGCTGTGGAGGAATATTGTGCCTTTCTTTTTTTTTTTTTTATTTCTTCTCCTTTTCAGTTTTCTCATTTCTCTCCATCACACAGGATTTGTCTCAGATTTGAAAGAGACGGATAAATAAGAACAATATTATAATTTGATAAAAATACCAAGACACAAATCATTTTCAGATTTCAGTAATACTTTGCAGATATTCTTACTTCATGTGAGACGCCCTATGCAGAAAGAAAACTACAGTAAAACATATTATTGTAAGAAAGTTATCTGAGTTGATTTGGACGGTTTCCACAGTTTCTTGTGAAAGTTTCTTCCAGAGCGTTTGATGCCACTGTGATGTCTGTGATGTTCAGTACGAAGCTCGAACCAGGAAGAGATTAGTCTGATGTCTCGTCGTCTCGGCTTTTAAACAACAAAAGGTTTGATGCAAAACGTTTGCACGACTTTGCTGAAGTGTGACTCACAGATTTGTTCAGATGTTTGAGGGAACAAATTGTTCAAGAGCCCAAAAACAAACAGTTTCAGATGAAAGATTATTATTTTATTTTAGTAAAAAACTGCTGCTCCACATTTTTTATTTAAAGTTATGAGACAAGAGCCAATGGTACAAAAACATCTGTTGGATCTCGTTCTTTTACCAACCGAGCTGAGCAGCATTCCGTCGCAGTTTAACTCAAGATTGTTTGACAAAACTTATAATAATGGGGATAAAATCGTCTCTGAGAGTTTCAAACTATTCTTTCTTTCATTGTCTCACTTGTGCCTTAAACGACACGAGACGACGCAGCCCCTGCACAGTTGATCAGGATCCTTTACCATGAACTCACCGGTATCGATGAATGAACTGAGTCTCGCTAACAGTTTCCCCCTGTTTCCAGTCTTTATGCTAAGCTAAGCTTAGCACCTCCTGGCTGCAGCTTCATATTTAACTGACTAACGTGAGAGTGGCATCGATCTTCTCTAACTCTTGGTAAGAAAGGAAAGCATTTGCAGATGTTGTAATGAGATCTGTTTAAAAAAAGTGTTTTTGTCTTTGTTAAATTCCTTTTATTTCTACACATAAGTTCTTTAATATAAAGAAATAATATTATTATGAATAATAATATTGTAATGATGTCAGACATGCCCCCCCCCCCCCTTTATCTCACAGTTCTTTCTCAAATGATGTTGAGACTTATCACAATTGGATGATTATTGATTCTATGCAACAGAGTTGATACTTTGGCAGGACGGCAGCATGTTGTGAACGTGCAGCTTCAACACAAACCAAACGTCCGGTCGTCTTCACACTCCGATCAAAAAAGGCCAGCGGCGGGCGAGGCTGGTCCTCCCCTCCGACACGGTTACACAAACAAGGGAAAAGTGGCAATTTTAGTTGAGTGATAGAAAAGTCTTGATCAAGAATAATAGATCCTTTTTACATTTGAATTTGTAGAACTCTGCTTGTTGTTGTTAGTTTTCTTCGCACCAACACGCTCAGAAATGCCTGAAGGAAGACGTAGTGCGAACATAGTCTAACTTTGTTTGGTTTTTTCCTCTTGTGTTGTTGAGATGTTGGCAACTCTAACGTTTCCAGTAAAGTTTGACTGGTGGTCGGTGGAGGAGCAGTGACAGTTAACACTGAGGTAATGTGCAGTTTAAACACGCCTTTATTTTGGAAGGAGGACACCATCCTGAGCTGCTAGCTAGTCCAATTAAATAAATAAAAAAATAAAAAAATCTATACTGTCATAGTGAAGCACTTTCCTACGTCTTCTTATTCCTTTTCAGTATTGTGGATGCTACGTTGTTTATCCGATTTTTCTCGTTTGACGTTTTGTTTACCAGCTATATTGGTATGAATACTTTTTCTTTTATCAGCTCTTGTTATTTAGCCTTAAATAGCCAGTGTAGTGTCTTTGATTGAGATGTGACCTTTTGATCGTACTGTTTCTTTGAGATATGAATAGTTTACAGAGAGCTTGGAGATGGATATCTGAACAAATAATAGCACAGCTTTTTGTTTGTTGTTTCTTTTGTTTTATTTTTTAGATTTAGAATAAAGACTTATTAAACCGTAGTCGGATTCGATCAGAGGAAAAGAGATATCTGTCAGCCACGTTGCTGTGTTCTCGTTGATCTCCTTGAGATCTGAATGACATCAAACTTATTTTTGAAGTTTGCATTTACCCTGTTGTATTAACAAATAAATATTATAAAAGTTAAAAAAGAAAAGATCTCTTTTTCCCAACAGAGACGTCGTGTTTGTTTTTGTTAACTTGCTACTGGTCCTGATTCCAAGTCTGAATCAGAAATGTCAGCGTCAAACTGCCCTGGTTTTACAATGTAAGCTCCGCAGAGGCTGTCGAGTGTCATATTTACACACCAGTGGATGTTTAACTGTATTTATTGTGTACAAATAAATGTGAAATAAAGATAGCTTCCATGAAAGAAACTGAGAACATTCTGTTTTGTTTATGTTGAAACTTTATTTTCACTTCAAATTCTGTTGATACTTGTACTCGAGTGTTTTATGACACTATACTTCTGCTTCACCAGGATTCAGGAGCCAGTAGTTTACTTTTTTGCTCCATTTTACATCTTAAGTCACTTTTCTGATTCAAAATATAATCGACAGTTTTCATTGGAAGAATAAAAAAGTCCCACAGGTTCATTTGGTCTGATACCTTCTCAGATTCAGGTCAATCAGGACAAATATAACCAACAAATACATAAAACACTGAGATGAGATCTGACGATTAGTAAATTATCACGTTTTAAGCATCAGTTTAAGAAATGACTACTTCTTTTGTCCGACGTTTTATTTTGTTAACACCGGAAGCAGCCGGGTTGATTCCGGCTAGCTTAACACTGGTGTGGAAAAGATGGCTGCTTCGGCGGCAACGGCGAGTTCTTCCCCGGGTTTGTGTCCGAATTACGCCGTAATCTGCTCCTTCCTCGACCGGTACGGAGCCTTGCTGGACCTGCCGGAGCTCACCTTCCCGCAGCTGGAGCGATGTCTGCAGGACACCGCCGCAGGTACCGCGCTCCGCCTCCCGCACACTTCACCGCCGCTCGTACGATAATGGTACCGTGCTAGCGGGCTAGCAGCTAGGTTAGCTAGCCGTGTGTTATTGTGTGGCTCTCTAACCTTCTCCTCCTCTCCGCCGTGGCCCCGCCGCGTCCCCCCGCCGCGGCTCCGCGTGGGAAACACACGCGTGGCTCGTGCGTCGATGATCCGGAGGCGAAGCCGCCGAGCGAGTCGAGCCTTTCTGTCACTTTCCAGCTTTTGGACCGGGCTCGTTTTCTCCTCAGCTCCTTTTATCCGGAGCTCGTCACAACACAGGAGGAGGATGTGCGCGCACAACGGTGCGTGAGCGGCGGGGAGGGGGGAGGAGGCGTCGAAACCCCGCAACGCGTCGTGGGTCGCGTGGCCGGTTGCGTGGATTTGCGGGACGGGCGTGAAACCGCACTTTATTTACACTTAAAACATTTTGTCGTGGAGTGGTTCGCTCAGTGTGTGAAGTTACCCGCCACCAACAGCACGTCCGGTCCGAGCTTTCAAAACAAAACCCTCATACCCCCTCAAACACCAGTATATCTGTCGATGATCCTCGTGAATCTCTTTGTTGTGTGTTTATCAGCTTCTCAACACGTTGTCTGGAAGTTTCACACGTTTTCTGAAGTGTAACCGACACTAATGAAGCTTTTTAATTATCCTAAGAATCAGTGGACTTCCGTTTGCGCCGCTGATTGTGTCGGACTTGACTATTTCTCTAATTAAGTTGCGTTGATTTGCGCAGGCGTCGATTGTCCCGCAGCTCATCGCACCGCACTTTGTCATCACTTCAAACCGAATCCGATACCGGAGTGAAACAGGTTTCACGAAGGTCAAACTCTTTAACTTCACAAAACTGTTTTCTGTGGCGTGGACAGAGAAACGTGGTTTTATTTTGAAACTGTTTTCCCGCAGATGAACAGAACTTTAATTTTGTGGTTTCACGCGCTCCTTCGTCTTTTAATAGAAAACTGTGAAACCTAGTTTCAGGGTGTCGATGAGGAAAAACCTGCAAACTTGCACTTGTTGTTTTTTCTCCACTGATGTGAAAAGTCTCGTTGATCTCATCCAGGTTTGATTCATCTTTGACAGATCTTGTGGTTTTTGTGGTGAAGATGTGAAGATGTGTTTGTTCTGCATGGAGAGAAGCTTCAGCATTGTCCTCTGTGTGTGTGTGTGTGTGTGTGTGTGTGTGTGTGTTGAATTACACAAACATCTGAATCAGTTTTTACGCTCTGCTTCATAACATAATCCAGATTTCAGGTCTGGAGCTCGATCCTGTTCGGACGTGTTCTGGATGGGAGAATGTTTGAAATACTTTTAAATCTGGTGTCTTCATTAGAACGTCTGACTCACTCAAAGCTCTCTGCCACGTTGGGTCGTGTGATCACATACGAGAGAGGGTTCGTCCAAAGTGAAGGTTCGATTCTCCATCCAGACGCGACCGCTCGTTATGACGTCACTGAAAGTTCACGCTCACGTCACCTGACCCGAGTGTGACGCAGCTCCGGACATGAGACTGAAACAAGTGAATTTGATTGTTGTTAATGATACAAGACGTTTACGTGCACGTCAGTCGTCCGCTTTAGTTCGGATCTCGTTTGTGAGTCGTTCTAAGAACTAAATAAGATCTGGTTTCACCTGATGCTCACACCGTCACTCTGCTTCACACCGTAAACCTTTTGTACCTGTTGTCCGATGGGTTTGAGATGTTTTTTTTCTATTATTATTATTTCTATAAATTCATCCAACTTCACGGATGGACACAAAAACTCTCGCTGTGCTTTTCCTTTTTTTTTATTAAAGCAGAAAATCAACCTGAACATATTCTCAACACAGCCCTGAAGTTTTTCTGTATATATATTAAGTTTTATTCACGTTGTGTGTATATATATTATGGTTTTGTTTCAGTTTTAAAATGTAAACACATGAGAATGAAACTGTTGAAGACACTGGAGCGAAAATAGTCACAGCTACAGTTTCAGACGTTACTTTACGGATCTCAGATAAAACTGTTGACAGATGCCAAGTTTAAATCTGAAATTGATTTTAGACACTAAACCTCCTCGTCTGTCAAATGTTTCCTCAGTCCCGAAGCTGCTGGTGGATCTTCACGTGAAGCTGCTGAGGAAGATCGGCAAGTCGGTGTCAGCAGACCGATGGGAGAAATATCTAGTCAAGGTAAACGTCAACTTCCAGTTTGTATATTTATTACAAACATTATGAAAAATACTTCAGACCGTCATGAGACACTCGCTCCGTCGGTTTAAACCCTGCGAACAGTTCCTGTAACACTGAGACGATTTCTGTCTGATGTGTTGAATCAAACGTAGATTCAATCATTTCATTTGTAAGAGTGAAGTTAAATTCCCTTATTTTCCTGCAGGTTTGTCAAGAGTTCAACTCAACATGGGCGTGGGAACTGGAGGAGAAAGGATACAAGGAGATGTCGTTGGAGAGCAAGACGGGAATACTTAAAGTGAGCACACTGTTTAGTTGTTGTTCTTAAACAGCAGCAGGTTCTGGTTTATTCACTCACCACAATTACTGCATATTTTTTTATTGCAGCTCCAAAGAGAAAAGTTTTGGAAAGAGTTCATTAAGTGAAGTTTGGACCCCAAAAAGTTTCTTTTTCATAATATGATCCACAAAAAATAGTTTTTGTCCGATACAATCTCACCTCCTTAAATAAAAAGAGTGATTCTGTGATTACTTGTATAAATGGAAATAATAAGATTAATTGTTTTTCTGCACTAACACCTTCTCAGGATCTAATCTTGAAGCACCTCTGCCTCTTTGCTTCGAAGCTGCTCTGAATCCTAGAGCTATAGAATCAATATTTACCCGCAGAGCTCAAAAAAAAGAATGATGTCATGTACGTCCTGTGATAACTGTTGTTATTCATCATTCTGTGTCTTTCTTCTCTCTCCAGTATTTGTGTGAGTGTCAGTTTGATGAAAATGTCAAGTTCAAAACCGCCATCAACGAGGAGGACCCAGATAAAATGCGGCTGCAGCCGATCGGCCGAGACAAAGACGGTCAGATGTACTGGTTTCAGCTGGACCAAGACGACAACGTGCGTGTTTATATTGAGGAGCAGGACGACTTGGACGGGTCCTCGTGGAAGTGCATCGTCAGGTAAACAAGCAAAAGTTATTTTAATTGGAAAAATATGCTGCAGGAAGCACGAAATGAAATTGAAATGCTAATGCAGCATCGAGTGTCTGTATGAACCAGCTGCAGTTATTCACTGTGAAAACGAACCTTTACTTTTCTCCCTGCAGAGAAAGAAATGACTTGGCCGAGGTTGTGGCTCTGCTGAAGACGCAGATCGACCCCGAGCTGTTGAAAAGGGACGCGTTAAAAAAGGAAAACCAACCAGACGGTGACAAAGACGGTAAAGGTTTGATGTTTAAACCGTCTTTATATTCCAAAGCATGTCGGTGGTTTTCGTCGACTTGTCAACTCGCTCGCTGTGAATTCTCCGGGCGTTTTCCTGCTTCATCTTCACATTCGCTCACTCAGACGTTTTTCAGACATGTGACATGTGGGCTGGAAGAAAAAGTTACAGAAAATATCAAGAGCAACCGACTCAAACATTTCCGTTCCTCCGTGCAGCACCTCTGGAACATTTCAGGGAATAATATCCAGACTTCAGTGCATGTCTGAAAGCAGCTTCAGAGTTTATGACCTAAAAATTGAAAATAAAGCAAGCAGGTGATCTCCCTGAACATCTCATCTGATCATTTCTCTTTTATATTCCAGGTGAAGTTAAAAAGACTGACAGTAGTTCAGATGAAGACAACAAAGACTCCAACAAAGCTGCACGCCCGGCCTCACCAAAGACGGAGAACAATGAGAAAGAAACACAGAAAGAAAACTTGAAGTCAGAAGCTTCTGAGGTCAAATCTCTCAACGGCACCATCGAAAGCAAAGGTGAAGCAGAACTTCTTTCAGAAAACATTGGTACAAAAGCCCAGAGCATCAAAGAAGAGCCGATGGAGGTGACGGACGCTAAAACAGCGCCGAGTGAACCGGCCTCTGTAACGTCATGTTTATCAGTGAAGGCAGAAAAGGGCGAGGAGGTGAAGAGGAACGGCGCAGAGGAGATTCAACTGAAGAACGACCAGCAGGCCAAAATCCCCCTGAAGAAGAGAGGAATGAAGTTCTGTGAAGACTTTGATAAAAACAGCTGCAACACGGTGCAAACGCCGTCTGTGCACCAGGTGCGAGACGCTCCTAAAGGCGACGCTGCTGCTGAACAGACAACGAAAACACAGAGTGTAAACGAGCACGTTAACGGTGAAATCAAACCAGAGTCAGAGAAGGATCTCCAGAGTCTGAGCGAGGCTCTAAAAGATGTCGCAGCCGACAAAGAACAGATGACGGAACCTTCCGTGGGTAAATCGGTAAAAGCGAGAGAAAACGACTCCACGTCCACAGAGAAGGAGGAGAAAGATAAAAACGATGAAGCTGGCAGTGCAAAGGTTACGGAGGAGGTCGTATTGCACCAAGAAAACTCGGATAAGAAAAATCTGGAAAAGGAAAGTGACGCCTTAACGGAAAAGAAAGAAGTGCACGAGTCTCCTCCTCCTCCTCTTCCTCCTCCACCTCCACCAAATGAATCACCACCTTTACCTAAAGATGTAAATAATGCAGCGGAGGAGTCGTCTAATCACAAAGAGTGTGAGAAAACGAAAGAGAGCACAGCCGATGCAGAAGAGTCTTCTGCTCCAGACGAGACGGCGTCATTAAAGGAAACTGATAAAACATTAACAACCGATGAGTCAGAGAAACTAAATCTAAATCATGAAGCCGCGTCCAAAGACCCAGAATCAAAAGATTCAAAGGAGAAACCATCCTGTGCAGAAGCATCAGAGTCGAGTCCGACTGACGAAACAGAGACATCAAACAGAACAGAAAACGTGAAGCCGACAGTGAGCGATAAAGATGCTGAAGAATCCACAACATCCGAGACCAACACAGAGAAATCCGACAAAGAGACGTCAGGAGTCATCAAAACAACAGAGACGCAGTCGACCGACAAAGATCCTCCAAAGAAACCTGACGATTCTGAAACCACAGCGTCCATCATTAAAAAGACAGAAACGGTAAAAGACGGTGACGACGCAGAAGCTCAAGAAGTCACACAAACTTCTACTGTCATTAAAACGGTAGACAAGGAAACATCAGAGGAAACACCCGACGTCAAGGAGAGCGCAGAGTCCTCCGTTATCAAAACGGTTGAGAAATCAGAATCATGCAAACCGGCCGAGAAGCAGCCGAGTGCAACAGACGCTGAGACGACTCCAGAGGAAACCAGCGCAGCCTCGGAAAAGCTCGACGAGACAGAGAAGCTGCAGGACACAAAGAAAACTGTCAACTGTGAAGACAATACGATCCATGATGTTACCAAGATAAGCGACTCCACGTCAGAGCCCATGGAGGTCGAGGCAGCGGCCGTTAAACGGGATCTGACAAGTCCACAAGAGGATGACGAGACTAAGACGAACTCTGTTGAACATAAAACAAAAGAGGGAACGTCTGAAGGAAAAGATAAACCGTCCAGTCCTGTCGAGACGACGGACGTCTCCGGAGAAACGGATGAAAAGCTCAACAAAGACGAAAAAGAGTCTGAAGAACCGTCGAAACCAATGGAGACAGAGCAGCCGTCACCGGAAACTAAATCTGGTTCTGACAAGGGTGGTGGAAAAGACACAGACGGTGAAAAGATCACAAACGACACTGAGAAAAACCTCAGTCAAGACAAAGACAGTAAAGAGGATTCTACGATAGACGAACCTTCAAAACTCGATCAAGTAAAGGAGAAGAAACAGGCGCATAAAGAAAAGGAAAAATCAGCCAAACTGGAGAAATCTGAAAGCAAAGAAGCTGAAGCCGAATCCTCGACTGGATCTGAAAAGCCGGCTCATCCAAGAAAAGAACCGTCAACCGATAAACCCACAGACGAGGAAAGTAAAAGCAAAAGTGAAGAGGAGGATTCAAACACAAAGAAGGAGGTGGCGAACGGCAGTGAGGCTCCAGCTGACGTCCGGGAGGCAGCTGTTCGCCGAAAACGCAAGCGTCCGGCCCATCGAAGGAAAGCTGAACTGAAGAGAGAGGAGACGCAAGGGGACTCGGAGTCCGACACCAACACGGGGAGATCTCTCCGGAGATCGCCGAGGATCTCCAGACCGACGGCGAAGGCGGTGGAGAGCCACGACAGGAAGATCGAGAAATCGCAGGCTGCTCAGCCAGCAGAGAAAGAAGAGGACGACACGGCGGAGAAAGAGAAAGACCAGGATGAGGAAGAGGAAGAGGTGGTGAAGGTCGTCCAGAAGAAACCGAGAGAGAAGAAGGTCGATCAGGAGGGTCAGCCCAAACCAAAGGTAAGACTTCCACCAGGTGGCGATATTCACCACAGCTCAACCCATATGGATTTTTTGGGGCTGATACCGAAATAAAACATTTCAGAAAGATCTGCAGTGATTCACAAGATTATTAAACTTTTACAAATCACCGTGTTTGTTTTGAAGGGGAGAAAGAGACGGAAGGTTCGGTGGTCGAACACTCGAACGCGCCGCAAAAAGAAAAGCTCCGAAGACGAGGACGAAAACAGCGGCGAGGAATCCAGCGAGGACGACAGTGAGGAGGAGGACGACAGCGACGAAGACTACAAGGTGGAGCGGAGCAAAAGGAGGCGGAACCGAAACCGAGAAAGACGGAGCTCGGACTCCTCGACGTCCTCGGACGACGACCTGCCTCCGAACGACGACCCCTGCAAACACTGTGGTCTTCCAAATCACCCGGAGCTGGTTGGTACCCACAGGATCTCCAGTGGTTCGATTCATTAGCAGCTTTCAGAGAGAAGTTAGAGAAGAAACGGTGTAAAGTTGTAAAATCAAGAGAAAGTGGACGAAGACAAATGTTTTAAAGTCTAATAACTTTGTAATAACCTGAGATTTGCTGATGACACCTGTTCATATCTGCTCTGTAGATCTTGTTGTGTGATTCGTGCGACAGCGGCTACCACACCGCGTGTCTCAGGCCTCCCCTCATGATCATCCCCGACGGAGAATGGTTCTGTCCACCCTGTCAACATGTACGTACCGGTCGAGGCTCTGAGCTCAGCCAATCAAACTTAAACCAAATGGAAACACGGCTTTGACGTTGTAATCTTTATCCCCCCGTGTAGAAGCTGCTCTGTGAGAAACTGGAAGAACAGCTTCAAAACCTGGACGCTTCCTTGAAGAAGAAGGAACGAGCTGAGAGACGGTGAGACGTCAGGGTTTTTATCTGTCGATCAAAAATTACTTCACAAGGATTCCCAACTGCTCCAAAATCCAAACTGTTCATAAAATGTTTAGTTCTTGTTTGTCGTGTCTTGAAATCTCAACTTAAAGTTAAATCTTGTATTTAAAGAAGTTGAAAGATAAATCTGATGTCACCAGGCAACTAAAGTTTGAATTACTTTTCTTTTTTTTCCGTCTTTCTCTCAAAGTAAAAATAAATATTCAAATTATTTTAAAAGCAGATTCTAAAACGTTTGCAAGGTCCGGTTAGAATATATTTATTATATTCTAATGAGAATGAATCACTCAGTGTTTTTCGTGTGTCTCCCTCAGGAAGGAGCGTCTTATTTATGTTGGAATCAGTGTCGAAAACATCATCTCACCCTCAGTAAGTACAGAGTTTACACAGTCAAATATTTCACCTGTTGGCGTTTGAACCATTAAAACACCCGGTGTCGCTCCCGCAGGTGGAGGTGGAGGAGGAAAAACCAGAGATCGTAATCAAAGAGAAGAAAGAAGTGAAGAGGAGTAAGAGCTGGGGACGAAGGTCAACGAGGACAAAGAAAAATATCAGCTACAGGTTTGTGCTCTGACTGAGACATGAGGGACGTCAGTTGTTCCGTTTTTGTTTTGTTTGGATTTTAACGTTCAGCTGAGATTTTATTGGTTCTTGTGTATTTCAGAGACACGGGAAGAAGAAATTGTTGGAAATGTAAAATTAGGATCAAATTCAAGAAGTTATAAATACGTGTGTTCTTCTAACTTGAGACACTGAAGCGTTGAGGAGAAAGTGTTTGATCCTTAACACTGACACATCAGTTCCTCCTGCAGGGGGAGTCTGTGTCCTGTCTGCTCCTTGTTAAACTAGTGATGTTTTCTTTTCACTCGGAGTAAATCAGCTGTTGGTTCAGTCAGTATATAATAGTGAGTTTGATATCCGGGAACAATGTGATCAAATGTGCTAATGTTCATTTTGCAGATTTGATGAATTTGACGAGGCGATCGAGGAGGCGATCGAGGAAGACATCAAAGAGGCCGAGGGTGGAGGTAGGAAGACTTAAATGATTTAAAATCTACAATGAAACCACATGTACGTTCAGATCTAACGTTCAGATTTAAGTTTGGATCTGCACCTAACACTCATATCAGTCCCCTAAACATGTCTTTCATCTGAGAGATCAAGGACATTGTCAAATAACTTCCTGTCTCACGATGTAGAGAACCCAGAAAAATGTTTCTTCCACGTTTCATGAAAGTTGGGTTCAGTCGTTTTTTTTTGCGTAATCCTGCTGACTAACCAGTTGAGTGTTCCATGTACTGAATCTTGATTTCTGCTCCAACCTGCGGACCTTTGCTGCTCGTTAAGGTGTTGATGACGGGTGTCGGTTGTCTGCAGGAGCCGGTCGGGGTAAAGACATGGCCAACATCACAGGAGGCCACAGAGGGAAGGATATGTCCGTCATCCTTCAAGCGGATGAGGAGAATAAGGAGAACGGCCGCCCGCCACGAATCAGCTCCGCTCAGCGCAAGAAAAAACGCCGGCGACTCAATGACCTGGACAGTGACAGCACCGTGGACGAGGAGGAGAGCGAGGAAGAGTTTCGCCTCAGTGAAAGGTACGAAACCGTGCTCGCGCCGCAGCTTGACCTCAAACGAGTTTTTCCTGTTTTCTGAACATGTTTGTTTTTCTGTGGATGCAGCTCAGAAGAAGAATTCGTCGTCTCGGAGAACGAGTCGGAGGCAGAGCTGGAGGCGGACTCCAACAACAGCGACTTTGGCAGCAACGGCAGCGGGAGGCGTCACACTTCTTCGCGGAGCAGGAAGCCACTGAAACGACGACGGAGCTCCCGAAAGCGGCGGAGACCGAGAGGGTACTCAGACGATGAAGAGGAAGAGACGGATGAGGACGAGGAAGATGAAATGGGTAGATGGTTATATTTTACAGTGATTCTATCTGGAGAGGGGCTGTCTCTTTACATTTGTCACTCATTATTTTTGCTCTGTGTGTTTTTGTCCAGCGACTGAAGGCTCCAGTGAGTTCAGCGACAGTGATCTTGATATGAGTCGACGGCGGTCTCGGCGGAGTCAGAAGAAGCAGGTGAACTACTGTGAGACGTCGGAGTCCGAGGGCTCTCAGGCCGGACCCAAGCGGGCGAAAATAAAACCCAGACATCGCCAGGACAGTTCGGAGAGTGAAGGTCAGTCAGAGACACGCAGGACACTTATAGAACCACGCTGTTCCAGAAGAAGTGATTTTAAAGGTGTTCCTTGTTTTCTGTTTCTAGCGAGTTTCTCCAGAGACTCTGAAGAGGAACCGAGGGATCGGAGGGTGAAGAGAAGAGCCGACTCCTCGGAGGAAGACTCGCGGCAGCGTCGCCGACGTCTTGCACTAAAGCGCAGGAGAGCATCTGAAGACGACTCGTCGGACGACTCATCGGACGACTCGTCGGAGGAGGATCGCCCCGTCCGCAAACGGGTGAACCGCATCGATTCGGACGATGACGATGAGGAAGAGGAGAAACCAAAGGAGAATAAAACAGAGGAGGAATCAAAGGGAACAAATCCATCGGACTGCAACGCGGTGGAGTTGCCACCCACCAACGGACAGAGCCCGGCAAAGAACGCCGAGGGCGTCGTCAGCCAACCCGCTGCTCCTGCTCCAGGGCCCCTCCCCCAACTGGAGCCACCCAAAAACATCAGCGCAGCGCCGGCAACTGCCATCGCACCAAACGGCCTGGTTGGCCAGGAGATGGCGGCGCAGGAGGATGACGAAGATGACCTGTTAGGAGTCACAGACCTAGTGGACTACGTCTGCAATAACGAACAATTGTAAAAAAAAACAAAAAATGGTGTACTGTTTCATTTTTTTGTGGTATTGTATTTTTATATTGCTTAACTTTATTATTCCCCCCCCACCAACACGTCCTCGTCCTTTTTACTCGTGTCCCGTGGAGCTTGACTCTCAGAAACCTCCGCCGCAGTAAGAACTGGATCTTTGTCGCCAGTCTGTCCCTGTGGGACTGAACAATAACGAGTAAGGGCAGCGACTCAAGTCTCATTCATGTGGTAACAATCATCTTACCTGCAGACCCCCCCCCCCTCCCACCAACCACTTCGTCCAGCTCCACTGCCAAACCACTTCCTGTAAGAATGTGTCACTCGTCATTTCTCCCGTCACGTCGTCCTATTTTCTGTTTTTTATTCCCACGTCCAAGACTTCGACAAATTCA